AGCAACACTTGTTCAAAGCGTAATCATAAGAGTCCGTGAGCTTGGTTTTTAACTAAGAACGATACCATCCAGTGGCGTCGTAAGGACGTGAAATCTCGTTACGAAAAGCAGTGAGATCACTGGAAGAAGTAGTAGAGAGCAGATGGAGAGAATACAGAGGCACCTTAGAATTCCACGTTCTTACGCTAGGGCCTAGTCTTCATTAACAAAAGATGTGATGTAGGGAAGTACGAAGGAGAATCTCCTGTGATCGAATGCGAAGTACACAAAGCCCCCGAAGGAGCTCGCAAACAACAAAGCCCCTGGAGGAGATGGCACACCTCGTGAGCCCATCAAGGGAGCAGATGGGGCTATTAAGATAGGTTTTGTGCCAACAGATTTGGTCTATAATACAGGTTTTCGGGGTTAGATCGCGAAAATGTGTCGTTAAACCCGCCACCACCCGAAACAGCCAACTAGTAAGGATTGTCACTTCCACCACACCGGTGTTGGAAAGCAAATCTACAACATTTACAGGAAGATTTATCTGCAAATCTGGCTGTCCGCCTGAAGATGCTAGCTATAATTACTGGCCAAACGTCGTACTCAGATTGTAAATGTTGTGGATTTGCTCTCCGGTTAGTGCTGTACTAGTAACGAATTGTCACGTTCTGTTTACGTGCCAAACCTTACTAATTGGTTGTGTCGGGTGGCGGCGGGTTTCAACGACGCATTTATATTTACGCGATCTAACCCAAAAAACCTCTGTGGACATTGGTCGCGAAAACCTGCGTGTTAAACAGATTTGGTCTAGTGGCGAGTGGCCCAGACACTGGCAGGGTTCATTACATATACCGCGTTACATAAGAAAGGCGACCCCCAGAGAATGCTCCAACAACCGTACTGAAGAGCTCTCAAAGCCCGGACCAGCAAGGCTTCGCTTAAGATTATTCATCATAGAATGGAGAGCTGTGCAGAAAGAGAACGGCAGGATGTCGTCTATGCAGGCTTCAGAAAAAGAAGAGCAAGAGACCAAATTGCGAACATCGGACGGATAAATGGGAAGATCAAATGAATACCGGCAACGGCGGCACCTCTGCTCCATTGACTACAGCAAAAGCTTTTGATTTATGTGGACCACGAACTGATGTGGATCACAATGAAGAAGATGGTGAACCCCAACTCACCTCGTGTGCCTGTTACGTAATCTATATGCCAACCAAAAAGCAACGGTGAGAACAGAGTATGGGGAGACAATAATTTGACATTGGGAAAGGAGTTAAGACACAGGGCTGTGTACTGTCTCCTTACCTGTTCAATGTGTACAGTGAGCGTATTATGCAAGAGGCAGGCCTGGATTTCCATCGAAGCAGGTGTGAAGATTGGAGGCAGAAGAATGCACAACTTGAGATGTGCTGATGACACTGACCTACTCGCAAATAGCCAAGCTGTTGGTAAATGTTAAAGAAGTGAGTGAGAAGGCTGGACTCTCCAAAAAGACGAAGGTGATGGCGAAATCTTCACTCAAAACTGCTCGAGAGGAGTTGTACACCCCTAGCTGCCACTGCTATTCAGTGGCCTAAAATCAAATGTTTCGCTCCAAATGACCGCTGCAAAGTATGATCTTGTGTTTTGATTTATTGTGCTGATCTTTAAAGGTGCATTGAAAAATGTTGATACTCCTGCTGTTGTGGAGTGACTCATGTAGCCAGCTATGGCTACAGAGTTTGGTGGTACATGTTTATGTCGTTTATTGTGAAATTTCGGTCAGTTCCTATGATCACTGTTACATTGATTTTGTCTTTATTTTGGTGATTTCAAAATGTTGTTGTTGTTGGACTTGCATCCCACTGGGATTTTTGCACACAGCGTTAGTATACGTTGCTTTTTCTGTAAGTTTTTGCTGTTTTTTTCCTGGATTTTTCTGTTTGCGCGTAGTCATTTTACATGTTTTCTTGTTCATGTTTTTGTTTTTAGTTTGTTGCGGTTTCACCCGATTCAAGAGCCGAATGGCTCACAGGGCTATACCAAATAAATGAAACTGATAGAACTAAACTTATTTAGTCTGTAGCCACGAGATCAGAAGGCGGCTGGTGCTCGGTAGAACAGCCACGTCACAGCTCAATAAGATGTGGAAAGACAAAGGCGTTATCATAAACACAAAGCAGAGGCTCGTCAAAGCTCTGATGTTCTCTGTTGCCCGACATGGACGCGAGTCGTGGACGCCGAGATTGAGCGAGCGAAAAAGGACCGGCGCTTTTCAGATGTGGCGCTGGAGAAGAATGATACAGATACCATGGACAGCCAAAATATCAAACATGTCCATCCTGAGAGAGATCAGTCCCAGTCTTCCACTCGAGGCCCTATTCGGGAAACAGAAATGGACAAACTTTGGGCACGTTAGGGGCCGTCCATAAATGACGTCACGCGATTTTGAACGATTTTTGACCCCCCCCCCCCCCATCGTCAAACGGCGTCACAAAAAGTCAGACCCCCCCCTCAAATATGACGTCAAAGATCTGCCCCCCCTCCAAAAAAAGCATGCTTCAAATAGTTTTAAACTATTGTCATTGTAGTGCATATTTAATGTGGCGCTGCACTGTTGTAGGAGAACACATTTATTAAAAAGTATATTTAATTAATTAGAACGCGTCTATTTATTTAAAGTTGCGCATTTTGATGTGACGTCACATTTCTCAACCCCCATACAGGTGCGTGACGTCATTTATGGACGGCCCCTATCACTCTCGACTCGCTAGTACCATTGCCACCGTTGCCATGAGCTTCACTCGGCGAATCTTGAAGAGCCATGGTTGAGAACTCTTCTCTGCGAGGCCGTTGCATCCAATTCACTGCCGCGTTCAATCATAACACTGCAGATCACACTTCGCTTTCCGCGCAAATCCCCCCCCCCCCATCCTCGCTTCTCCCCCCCCCCCACCCCCGAAGTTCTTCAAATGTTGCTTAATTCCAGAAACTATTACAAACTCCGATCTATCTGCACTTGCAGCCGTTTACTTCTGGTTGCTTGGCGTCGAGGGTTTTTTGCGCATCAATCGTGACGAGTACCGATGGCTTGGCAATTAACAAATCATCTGGGATTCAATTCCTCACCTGTTCCCTCCGCACGGGAGGTAATGGGTGGGCCTTGGTGACGCCATCGCATCACCATGCACGTCATCCTTGGTCGTGGCGTCATACGGGGATTTTTTTCCCTCCGACCATTTGGAGGCTGGAGGTCAGCCTATCATTTCCGGGACCCAACTGACTGTAACAATTTGAAAAATTCCATCACAATGGAGCAGTTGATTAAATGTGTAGTAAATTAACCACAGTAAATCGAACGACCATCCTAACTTTAAATAATCACGTGCTTAAAACGACAAATATGCATCGGCATCCCATTGATTTGAGTATCCGTGTCATTACAAACTTGGGCAAGCTCGGGGGGCCTTGTGCTCAGCACCATTGCCACCACGACACTTGGCATGCAGTTGATAAGCAGGTGAGAGCCTCTCTCCATCGGGTGGCCTGCCCCTCCCCATATGCCAGACGACTGCTGTCCTTGTTGCACGGTCAGGTGCGGACAACGGGAATTGTCGCTTTGCGGCATCGGTATTGGCGGCACACTTTCCCCTCCTTTGGTTGAACCCAACGGCGAGGGTTGTTTTGCTTTCGCCCAACAAAAGACTCGTGGGCTTCTGGGACACACGTGCGATGAATAATTACGCGTCCGTGACCCCTCCACCCCACACCCCGCCGGTGTCTGCAAAAAAAATGAATGTCCCTTGTGCAGACACGGCAGGTCTCTATGTTCCCCCAAAACACCCTGAGTGTGGCTGAAAAAAAGAGTGCATGTTGTCTGTGTATGTTGAACTAACTTTTTGACTTGCGCGTGTTCAATACGCATTGGAATGTAAAATGCCCTTGAAATGTCATTTTGAGTGCCCCCCCACAAAAACCTCCAAATTGCCTGTACCACGTAACCAGGATTTTCCCTGCCTGTCACCATTTTCAATGTCTCAACTCAAAAATAAGAGCAACGGGAAAATGTTTACTGCCTTCTACAAATCTCGTGCAATTTACTCGAAAATAAAAAGCCCATGTCATGCATGGGTCATTCCTCAAGACCCTGCGATGTCCCTGGTTCTTTACATTCAGAATGGGCCCTTAACTCAATACGATGGAAATGTCGAGTGCTGTGCGTCGGGCAGCATGTGGCCGACTGGGTTTTTCCTGAGTTTCAGGTGACAAGCACATGTGGAATGGCGTTGATCTACGAAATGTTTTCAGGCCGTAAGTGAATGCTGTTTGGCATTTTCGAGGTTTGCTCCATTTCATGGAAGGTGCACGTCAGGAGAGCGGAACAGCACAACTGGGAAGCCCCCAAACGTGGAAGCGTTGAGCAACTGGAATGCTTTAGTGCTCTGTATGTACGTCGAACTTCTTCCACAACCGTACGTAGCCAACCGTGCTAATCGGTGTACGCGGGCTGTAGACTCCCAGGAAATCTCTTCTGGTGAGAGCCCAACCCTTGGTGCCTCGTGGTGTTTTAGCGTTTTCAATATCCAGTCACCTGCATGTGCCACTTGAGAGGAGAAAACCAAAAGCAGAGTAACTGGAACCAAAGTAGGATTAGTTTACCATGGAAAACCTCAATGACAATTTGTGACTGTATTTAAACTTTCGATTGATTTTGTTTTGCTTATGGAAGGCAAATCAAAGAATCTCATGAAAGCCAAGGGAAAGCTCCCACTCCATTACACAGTCGGCCTGAAAACGACTTGGCTCTCCTGCCTCTTACAGCCCTTCCCACTTGACGCCCTGCAGGTGGGGAGGGGGGGGGGGTCATGTATGCCAAGGTTTCAACATCTGCACAATCCACCAACCTCTTGCCTCCAAGTCGCTGGATTATAGGGTGTGCACCACCACAACCACACCGTGGCTGACGGGGCTTCACACAATGAAGCCCAAAGCCTTTCTGTTACCCTGTGCCAACACGAGACACAAGGCAAGTGGGCCAATGTTACCAAGATTTCATGTACATTTATTTTCACCGTGAGACATACAGTAAAAAGATTTTTTCGCACCGAGGAATTGACACTCATAAGCCTGTAGGAAAACAAATGATTGATTTACATCGACTTTTTTCCCCTACGTAGCTCATACAAATAAGCCGGTCATATTAATCACTGAGCAACGTGGATCATCTTTTTGCAGCTTTATACTCCATTTAATAACAAACACCATGATCAACAGATTCAGTTAAATGTGCTCTATTAACAGAGCGCAACGCCTTAGAAATAAAATAAAATACTCAGGTTTACAAATCCCCTCTAAATACAGAAAGGTAAAACTTCCAAAAGAAAATAATAAAAATAAAATATTAATAATTGAGATGGATATACGGCTAATGCTAATAGCTGATTTACGACAGTCGATCTATTGTTCTACAGAAAACGTAATGAGTAAAGTTTTATATAGTATACAAGGGTTGGTTTTTGTTTCTATTTTTTTGTGGTTTTCCTTTTCTAATTTTTTTATTTCGTTTTTATCTTAATATGTACACACGCGCGCACGCGCACACACACACGGAACGGTGCCCAACCCAAACTTTTCACAAGGCTGTAGAAAAAAAAGTACACAAAACGTAAATGAAACGAAGGCCAAACTCCCCCGCCCTTCCGCCCTCCCCCCTCATCGACCAGCATAGCTTTGCGAACTTGCGCTCAAGCAGTTCAAATCTTTAATCCGGGTACGACCTATAGGAGTATTCCTCTACAATGAAGCTCTCCGTGCTCACCCAGCATTGAGCTTTAACCCCACCACCCCCCCATCACCCAAGCTGACAACACCACTCCCCCCCCAGAGTCCCAACATACCCCCACCCCTTGCCCCCTCATTCACATTCATTCATTGGCTGGCAAACATTCCACACATTTTTTGGTTTATTTTACTTTTATTCCATTAATATTATTTCAACTTATTTTTTTAACTCGTGTTTTCAAACTCTACATTGCTAAGTGTGTATATAGTTTTGTTTTTTAAAAAATGTGTATTTTTTTTCCCGTTTTTCTCGGTTTTTTTTGCCTTTATTTTTTGTGTGTGTGCGCGTTTTTAATCGACTACTTTCTTTTATTACTTACACAAGGAGCTTAAGATCTCACGCGCGTGTGTGCCATCAACCCGCATTTCACCGAGATGCCACGGACACTCGACAACATCGGAGGGCTTTGCCTTTTCGACTAATTTAAAAGACACGTTTTTGTTAAAAGACTTAATATTTTTTTTACTTTAAAGTAGGTCGACGCATTCGACGACACTCCGCACGACTCAAAAGTCTGCCCCCTCCGGATCGACGCGGCGGTGACCAAAATCACCGGCCTTCTCGGCTACGCCGCAGGGCTACTCAACTCTGAGCCCCCCACCCACCCCACGATGGCAAAAGCCCCCCCCCCCCCCACTCCCATTCTCTCCCCCTCTTTTCTAAAAAAGTTCTTGTTTTAAAAAATAATAAATCTCCAAAAGTTCATCACGAGACAAGAGGAAGCCAGAGGTTGTGAGTCACGATAGAGCGAGCCCTTTCGCTTCTCCGTATCCACGTGTTTATTTTAAATTCACCACCGTTACTTTCATCTACTTTTGCTGTTAATTTATGCGCTTTTTTTAGTAGACACACGCCATCAAATTTTATATCAATAACCACAAAACAGAACATTTTGTCGTTACAATGCTACGCTCTTCCGCGTGTTTTAATTTACGAGCGTAGAATATTACATCTTCTATCAGAGGCACAAATAAAAACCAAGGAATAGTCTTTTTTTCATCGTTTTTTTTAAAGAACATGAACAAAATAAACTACAGTGTAAAAAAAGCACACACAGAACACCCATATGATGACATCTAATGTTTCATCCTATGTCTGGTCACAAAGGGGAGTGAGGAAAGCTTGGCTAACAGTAGAGGAAAAGGGGCAGCAGAACACTGCTCGATGAGAAGGCAAAAAACACCTCCAACGTCGCAAGTGGAGGAATAAAAAAATAAAGCAACGCTCTGCTACTAAATTTACAGGACAGGAACAAAAAAAACATGAACCCTTAAAAAGGCGTTAAATCAAGCGGTCACCATCAAATGCAGGAGGCGGATGTTGAAATCAAGAAGAGCTGGAGCGGAGGCGGCAAAGCGGGGCCGGTAAAACGTGACACGCGCACACGCGGTTTCGTTGGGCCGGACGAGCAACGCGCGAAGATTCCTGCCTGTCCCCCCCCACCCACCCATCCACCCCGCAAGCCGACACCGCGATAAAAAACGCGTGAAATGATTCGGCACTTATTACGCACTAAACTTGGTATGTCGAGGACTAGGCCTTAAATTTTGACATTCAACACACATGCCGAGTTAAAAAAGTTGTCCTAATGAAAAAAAAATAAAAGAATGTGTAACCTCCCAGGAACTGTGGCTCCAAAACAAAAGAGCGACGCACGATTTTCTTTTGGAAGTTGGCTGCCGAGTGAGGTCTTGAGAAAGCGGGGGGGGGGGGGGGGGGGCTGTGGAGGCAGCGATGGGATTTTTTGCGGTTGCGTGCATCCCACTCACGCACGCGCGTAACCTCGGCACAAAATCGTAGCCCGCCGTAGAGGGTGAGGGAGGTGGGGTCTCTCTTTACCATCGCGGTTTCAACTCGTGCAGCCAAGAGCGGTAAACCGATACGGGCATTCCGGTGGGGGTGTCCCTGTGCGAAAAACTTCCGCCACCACACGCTTATGGGCCACGTTTGGAAACTAAACATGAACACAGCGTTCAAACCATTAGTCCCCTCCCCCACCCCGGGTGCTCCTTGCGGTTACAATTTTAAAAATAATAAATTCGGTTGCTACCGTAAGGATACGTACAAGGGAAAACTGTTCCAGTATGGGAGTGGTGTCGACCACGTGACAGTCCCGACAACCCCACACCCCCCTCTCTTGCAACTGCTCCACGCTCCCAAAATTTTCCTCCACTTCTCGGCCGTGACCTCCTCCCCCCCCCCCCCGATCCAAGCTACACCAAGCAACGGATTATCCAGGAGATGGCAAATCCCCTTGAGGAAAAGTTCAATGGAAACGGCGCTGTTTAGTCCGGGGAGATAAGCGCCGTGCGAAAAGGAACCACGGATGTAGCTGCTCCATTCGTTCGCTGCGACTCACGGCTTGGGCACAGCGAGTCAAGGCGCGCCCCCCGCAACCAACCGAGGGCAGGGCCGGGACGGCTCCCTGGTGCCGTTCAACGCTTCGTGCAGCGCACAGCGGCAGGCACAAGCCTCACGCATAGCAGCAAAGCAGCATTTTATTATAATTACCTAAATAAAATTACATTTCTCCTGCTTTTATTTTTCTTGACAAAGCGTGCCCCCCCCCCGGGCACACGAGCGGAGCGGGGATCGAGTTGAGAGTGGCGTTGCACCCACCCAACCGCCTCTCCCGCCCCCCACCAGCACCCCGCACCGCTGGCGCCGCCGCCACCACCACCTCCCCCACACCCCCACCCGCACCCACTTCGCCAAAGAAAGCCGCTCAGGCCTGTGCCACCCTGTAGAGGACATCGCCCAGGATGGCGGCGATGCTGGGGTGCAGCATGCTGGACATGGACACGTCCAGAAGCCGGCCCTGCTGCAGGAGGAAGTGCGGCCGGTTCTCGGGCGCGCGCGCCATGGCGAGCAGCGCGGTGGCGGCGCGCCGCATCATGTCGTGGCTCGGATGTTGCACGGCGGGGGGCGGCGCGTGCTGCAGCATGGCGGCGGGGCTCTGCTGGTGGATCAGTGCTACCAGGCAGTCCTCGAGGAAGCCCAACACCGTGGGCACCGAACCACGCTGCAGCGCGATGGCGCGCGCCGCCAGCCCGTCCGCTTGCGCCAGGTTGGCGAGCAGGGCCAGCGCCATCTCGCGGCACACCTGCTCGCGCCGCTCGCTCACCAGCGTCACCAGCGTGCCGCAGAGCCGGCGCAGCCTGCCGAACGGCGGCGTCGCCAGCATGAGGTCCACGTTACCGTCCTGCGTGCTCAGCTTGGAGAGGCACTCGAGCACGAGGCGCTGCGGGGACAGCATTGAGGTGGGGCCCGCGCTGGGGAAGGGGTCACGTGCCTCCGCCGACGGGCACACGGCCCAGTGCAGGAGCCCGTCGAGCAGCGGGAACACGAGGCTCTCGTGGTACGCGGAGAGGTCCAGCTGGCCCGCGATGTTGGCCAGTGTCACAAAGGCGTTTTCCCGCAGGCTCTGCAGGCAGTCCCACCACCAGTGGCGCTCGCTTGACTCGTGATCGTCAGCATCGCCGCTGGCAACCGGGCCACCAAAACCGTGCATACTTGGCTTTGCTTCGCCGCCACCGCGCCCCAACTCCTGAGCCTCTCCCGTCTCGGCATCCGCTTCTTTTCCATCGCCATTCAACAGCGAGCTCTTCCTGCCCTCCTCCTTTTCCTCTTCCTCTTCGTCGTCGTCTTTCGCATCCTCGTCATCCTCGTTTCGATTCATCCTGTCCGCGTCCACCTCCTTCCGGGCGTCACGCTCTCTCTCGGTGGTACCGGCGGCGGCGTTGCAGCCGGTGAGCGGCCCGTCGTGCGGGTGCATGCGCCCACGCCGCCGCTCAGGGTGACGGTGGTGCAGGAGGATCAGGCGGCCGAGAATCGCGAGCAGCGCTGGGTTCCGCGACATCTCCGCGTCGTTGCCCGGCACGAACGAGAGGCTGCGCAGCGTGTTGGAGATGCAAACGCAGCGCCGCGACAGCGCCTCCTGCCAGTCCTCGAACGTGCACAGCGGGGGGTCGTCCTTGCACTCTGGCTCATCCTCCAGCAGCCTGCCTGCACCCTTCAGCTTCTCATCGAGCGAGGAATGCAGCCCGTTGGGCAAACCGAGGTCGCAAAATCCATCGGCGCCAGCCGACGGCACCGCCTCCGCAGCCGCCCTCCGCGCGTCCATGCCGTCGCCGTTTTCCACCGTGCCGGAGGGTCGCGGGGCCTTGGGCGGCTCCGCTCCCCGCTGCCTCCGCTTGAGGCTACGGTGCAGCAGGGCTGTCCTGCCCGTCCGACTCTCGAACAGCGTCTGGATGTGCTCTGTCATGTCGCCACCGCCCAGCTGCCAGTGCAGCCGCCCGCACTCGCCATCTGGGAGTCGGGTGCCGGCGCAGTCCGGCCGCTCCACCACAAACTCCTCCGCCTTCTCCACCACCTTGATGGGAAGGCGGTCGAACGTGCTCGCCGCGAGCGAGCGTGCCGACACCGCGTCCTCCCCATTTGCAGGCGCCGGGGTGGCACCCTTGACGCCCTCGCCCTTTTCCGACGACGACGACGCTGCCGCCAATGCGAGCGGCGGGAAAGACGACGACGACGCTGCAGGCGTCGTCGTCTCCATGGTCTCCTCCGAGTCGGGCTGCGCCGGCTCGTCCTCCAGATCCATGGCCGAGCTGTTGCGGTCCGTGCCGGAGTCGTCGTTTGTGTTCTCGTCACCGGCGCCACCGCCGCCACACTCCTCGTCATCCGACTTGTCAGCATCACCGTTGAGGCCGAGCCGCACAGAGTCCTGCGCCTTGGCAAAGAGCTTCCCGTCGAGAAGGGACTTCTTCTCGGAGTTGCCGAGCTCGTACTCCTCCAGGATACCGAAGATGTCGATGAGGCAGCGACGGAAATGCTCGACCAGCAGCTCGAGCAGGCCGGGCAGCTGTGCGAGATCGGAGCAGGGGGGGGGGTCAGGGTCAGAAGAACAACACACACACACGGTACATCGCGAGGCACACAAGTGTCCCGCAACATGGCGTGGACAGCACAATAAAAGTAAGTTCTATACAATACGCACACCACGACACAATATACAAGCATCGTGACATGCAAGGCAATAATTATCAAGACGACATGTATAACATGACACATATGTTCAATCATTATTTTACGTGCCAATATCGCTCTCGATAAAGTAGGCATCAGTGCACATTGCAACGGAACAGGAACGGTACAGGGTCTACAGCAACAGATTCAAGCAGTCAAACAACTTTCACAAGCAATAACACACACAAAACAAAAACCACCACCATTGACCAGAATGCAAACGTGTCACGTTAAAGTGTCGAAAGCGCACGAACAGGCCATGGCGACAGGCCCAGGTGTTATGGGTTAAGGGAATTAAATGGCTAGCAGATGCACCACCTGTGCTCCTCCCACTGTCATCTTTCACAGTATGACTTTTCTGTTAAATTTGGCTTCTCTGCCTCCCATTGTTACTGGTGGGCAACTGCATTCAACTAACCAGTTCAGTCTTTCACGTCCCCCATCCAAAGAGGCTAAAACGACACTGACGGTACCAGTCATCGGCAAATCCACTCAGCTCCAAATCCTCCAGGGAACCAAATCTGCACATCTCTTCTGTAGCCCACGCCATTACAATTTAGTCCTCTCTATCTGGCCAAACAAAATCTACTTAAGACATGCGGTGGTGAGACATAGCGGACTAAGATCTGGTCATGATGCAATAACTGGTATTGGACAAACATCCCAATCCTGAAGAAACTGCTCTCCTACAAAACTTGTCAGAACCTTCCTCCAAAAGATTATTGAGACTCGGTAAAGATTACTTGCATAAACAACCGTAATACCAACAATGTTGAGATCGTTCAAGGATCTGCGAGCTCCTCGCATGCAATCCAATCCAGATAAATCCAGGCCAACAGGAATGTATCAAGCCAGTCCAGTCTTCCTTTAAAAAGAGGCCAAATTTCGCAAACAGAGAAGGTGTGAGATTGTGGCAGAGCAGACCAAGAGTGGCCGTATGGAGTGAAAAACCACGTATAATCCACACAGCTTGACATATCATATTAAAAGATAATGCGACTTGACTGATTCGAAGACCTCTGCTCGCAAACCTGAGCTGGCCATGAGCACACCAACCAGGAATGTAAACTCCTCCACTACAGCTTTATTCATGGACAGTGGAGAGGGTTGAGTGTTCAGAGTAAACAGGCAGGTGACTTAGTTTGGTGTAGAAAGCACTGCACTTTGAGCAGAACTCCTCCGAACGGGCACCAGTTACACCAAGTCATCACTAGCACGGTTGGACGAGTAAGGTCCCATCCTGGGATATTTTTTTCCCAGTACAAAAGTATGGCAATAGAACAGGTGTTAAGATGTTCAAATACCAAATAGATACTTGTTGCAATGAATCAAGTTTGCATTAACCACACGATATTGCTCCTCACCCCGAGCTACAAATGCTCTGATAGGTGCATTGTCTGAGTACTGTCCGCCTTTTGGCGTTCTCTGGTCTGACAATGGTGAGACAAGGAAACAAAAAGGATATCCCTGGTGTAGGCTAATCAGTTTCAAAGACAATGCATATATTATCAGAGCATGTTTGTTTGCATGTTTTGCCACAAGTGTATGTGGTTAATGCAGACTTGAATCCCTGCAAAAGGGATCTATTTGGTGTTTGAACATCTTAATGCCTGTTTTATTGCCAGAAAGAGTAAAATCCTATTCTTATTTATATAAGGTACCATCGCTTGACTGCACCTGGAGATCAGCCTTCCAATGTATTTTCCCCAAAAGAAAAACACTGGTATAGCCATGGAAGGATTAATTCTAGATTTGAAGTTTTCGTGACTGCAAGGATCCATACTCTTTGGTTCTTTCGGTAAAGTCATGTAGGTGAAAATAAAATAAAAATACAAATAAAATATTTTTTAAATAAAATAAAAATAAAATATTTTTATTTTATTTTCACCTACGTGACTCTACCGAAAGAACCAAAGAGCATGGAATGATTCTCAAAGTAAATTATTCTCGAAGAGAGATGATGAATAGTGTAAGGGGATTAAAGGACATTCCTGATGCACCAAAAGGTGAACAGGAAATGGCTCCCGACTCCCAGCCACATGGCTTTACCCAGGCCAGCCCTTCCATCATGAAGGTCCTGAAGGATGACTAGATCAGGAACACCTCAAGAGAATAAAAAATCCCAAACTGTGGCCCCTTGACAGCATTGAATGTCTCGACTAGTTGTAGGTCCTTGGTGAACTTGTATACAGCTCCACTGGACCAGACATTTTACGCATGTCTGCGGTTGCACCCGATTCAAGAGCCGAATGGCTCACAGGGCTATATCTAATAAATGAACTTGAAATAAATGAACTTGAACGCAGCACACACCACAAACATGCACAAAATACATCAACACAAACATCACACGCCACAAAGTACAATCATTATGGCAAAGACATGCACGACTCCACACAACACACACTTCACACGCTCATTCATACAGACTGTTGGGGAAAATGCTGTTAGCCAGAGCGTATTAAGTAGAGGCCGACCGAAATCCGGTTTCGGCGCCGAAAGTTGGCAAATGGCCTCTTTCGGCATACTTTAGGTTTCGGCCGAAAGTCAATTTTTTACTTTCGGTCTGGTTTCGTTTTCGGCCGAAACCAGAAATTCAGTTTCGGTCGGCCTCTAATATTAAGGCTGGCACGAGCACATGTGGAGTGGTTTGACATGCACCACGCCCAGCACCCTTTGTCTCCCAAGTGCTAATACATTTCACAAACGTCAACGCGACTCGCACATTATCACAAGACACCACACGCGCACAAACCTACTGCCATGCCATTCAAGAGCTGCGCGGTGTCGCACACTACCCCTGCGGAGGGGCGACGACGACTCTGCGTGGTCGTGGCGGTGCGCGCACCTGGCTGAGGTTGAAGCTGGAGACGCTGGTGTCGTCGTAGAGGAGCACGTTGACGGTGTCGACGGCCCAGGCGCTCTCGGCGAGCAGCCCTGACTTGAGAGACATGAGCACGCGCCACGCCTCCGGGGAGCCTGGGGAGGAAGATGCAGCCACACGATGATGCCCATCCTTCAGAAACCAGTGTTGCTTCAATGCCCCAGCACCGTCACCACCACTAACCCCCCTCCTCGTTCCTACCAACCTTTTATCCGCTACTAATCCTTTAATCTGCGACACCATTTCTCCATCTTCATTGCGCAGTTTTACTGTACTAAAAACACTGGGATGCAATCCAAGTGCAAAAGGGAGAGAAGTAATAAAGCTACCATCGATTCTTGAGTCAATTCGTGGCCACAGATCGTGGCAATTCATCAAATAGCATGGGAGGGAAGGGGTAAATCATTACATAGCCCAGAAGCACTGGCATTGTCAAGAAAACCCACTGCAGCACGTAGGATTTTTTTTTATGCTGTACTCATTTGACCCAAGTTATCCCTGACAGAGACACCGTTGGTCTCAATGGGCTCTCACGTGGTTTAAATATAACGACAAACGAACAACGCGACCACCGCAAGGCTCACCGACTTCCTTGGACGTCAGTTTTCGGCGCGGCTTGTACGTGGGTTGCGTGGCCTCGACGGATCGCGCCGGGAAGCAGAGCTCGCGCCGCACAGTCGGCATGGCCAAGCAGCCCGACGGACCCAGCTGTGTGGCCGGCACCGGGTGCCCGGCGCGGTGAATCATGCGGGCGCCAGGCGGCGTGGGGGCAACCATGCCGCTCACATACGGAGAGCGGCCTGGCGACAGCGAGCGGTGGTACGCGCCCGACGCGGGAGATCCGTGGCCCGGGTACGGCGGCTGCTGGTGGTAGCTGTGATGCAGGGTTGGGCGCGGGTACGGCGATCCGGACATCGAGCTTTGCGGCAGGCGCTGCTGCTGTTGCTGCGGCGGCTGCTGCTGCTGCACCGGCGTCTGCGGCTGCTGCTGCCCCTGCCCCTGCTGCCAGGGGCCACGCGCTTGATCCATCATTTCCTCGGAGCGCGGAGGAACGGCGTAAGGAGGTCCATGCGGGCCCGGCATCCCTTGCTGCCGTGCCTGATAGGGGTAGGGGGGTTCGCCCCGGCTGGCCCACACACTTGGCTGCATGGTGGGGTCACCAGAGGGGCGAGACACCCCCATGGCGGGCTGGCCCATGGCTCCGGCGACACCGCCAGGTGCCTGGCTCATCATGGGGCTGGGACACTGTCCGGCAGGCGCGGCATTGGCAGAGGGCGCCAGCCCGGACGCTTGGTTCGCCGGAACTGGCTGCCCCGGCGCTCCGTGCTCACGGCTCAACGCTCCCAGATCCTGACTGGGCCCGGCTACGACAGGGCCCTGGGCGACCTCCTGAGAGACCGGGCCCCCTGGGCCCTGTGGGACAGCGACACCGCCTGGAGGGAGAGGCCCACCAGCCGTGCCCGCCGCCTGAGCTGTGGCCGTTGGGGCCACCGGGCGGCCGTACACCTGAGAGTACGGACCCGATGCCGCCCTGTGATCTGGACCAGGAAAGCCCGGCTCGTAAGAGCCGTACTGGCCCTGCTGCTGCTGTTGCTGCTGCTGCTGCTGAGGAGGAGGGGGAGCCTGCTGCGACAGCTGTTGGTTGTTGCTGTAGTGGGAGTTGTAAACGGCATCGGTTTCCTGCCTCTTGGCCGGGGGGCCTTCGTAGCCTCCGTCCGCAGGGCGCTTGTAGGCCTGCGGTACAAGTTACATACAGCAAAGTGTTGATGACCTTGTGTGTACATGGGGCTGCAGGTGTGCTTAGCGGCACACACATTGGTTGGGTGACAGATTTGAGACACAACAAGACCTAGCTGGTCTTCAATGAACTCCAGGAGATGACAGTACAGCAAAATTCATATTAAACGTTTTTTGGGTTAGATCGCATAAGTATGAATGTGTATTTAACCCACCACCACCCAACAGCCAATTAGTAAGGTTTTCCAGAATTGGCAAAAAAAAAAATAATCGCCCGATGATGCTGGATGTAATTACTCGTGAAACCTTACAAATTAGGTGGTGGGTTAACAACACATTTGTATTTACGAGCTCTAACCCAAAAAACCTTTATTATAAATATTGGTTGCGTAAGCCTACGTGTCAGTACAGGAAACAGATCTGTGGGGACCCACCGATCTGTTATCCCCCCAGCACATTTTCTCAAATTATTTAGTTCTCCCACATGCAAAACAGTCCTTAAAATAATCTGGCCCAACATGCCACCACAGGTTTCTGGATAATAAATGACATTACTTTATTAATATATATACACCAAACTTTGCAATGTTAGAGACCACAATTGGCCTCACAATGGGCTCGCATCACACATCAGCCCAGTGTCACAATGCCAGTTCCACGACATAAGTCCTTGGAGTTTCATGGTTTTTATGTGCGGAAGTGCCACCCCATTTGCTCTGGAGGCAGCAGTCGGTGGATCATGCCAGTCGTAACCTGTAGGGCTACTGGGCAGCCAGTAGATGGCAGTGCTAGGTGAGATACCAAAGCAAAGTATATTAATCATCTAGCCATGAATATTTTTTGTAAAGTAGTTCGTCGGTTAAAAGTGACATCGGTTAACGTTTCGCCTCCCATAGGACCCTACGGTTTCGACTAACGTTAACATTTTGATTAGCGGTATGCTGACGTCATGCATGCGGGCGCCAATTTCGGCCAATTCGAACACTCGTAAGTGGGCCGAGCCATGCCCTCAGCCAATCAGCGATGCCCATTTGTGAGCATTTAGACCTTGACTGGCTTTATTCACATCATGATTTCTGTTTTGGTAGTGGAAACAGCTCTCTTGCAGACTCGGTGATTTTTACTTATGTTTCAATTCGTAAGTGAAATAATAGTGATAGCAATGGCCCCTAAAGTGAATTCTCAAAAGGAAAAGTGTATAAGCATGAAAAACAGGGTAAAACAGTGCACTTATGAGTGAGTTTGGGTTGACCCAATCCACCATTTTTTAAATTTTGCAACATAAGGACAAAATTCAAGCTACCAATGTCAAGGATTCCTCGACTAGGATATTCAAAGGTACAGAAATTATTATAGAAATGTAAAGACTACTAATGATATGGAGTCAGGAGAAGGAAATGAGGGGAGTGTAGATAGTTTAACCTATATTCCGATTTACAGTTATTTCGGTTAACAGTAGTTTTCGTGGAAAGGATTAAAATCATTATTAACTGAGGGACTCCTGTTATGTTATTTTCCCATATGCTAGGGTTTACTCTGGTAGTCTGGTTCCTGTGGATGGCAGTGACGTCCACAGACGACCTGTGAACGGTGGCATCGACGTAATCCAGCTAATGTCCCAACAAAGAAAACAAGTGTACCTGACGAGGCATTGATAAACTCTTCAAAACACATACGAATACCGACACCACTTTGTAATACATCCGTGTGATATGCCATGTATTCAAATCTCTTCACCGCTTGAGAACAGTGTCATTACGTCAGCACAACTTCTGATGGGAGTCCTCTAGAGCAGCACGTGGGCCCTGCCGAAATGTGCGATTCTCCGAGCTGCGGTGATGGTTTATGGTAGTGCAATGCTGGTGGTGTGGGTTACTCGCCTGTTGCGGAAACACGCCGGGCTGATTAGGTGGGTACGGTGGCGGCCCCTGCGCCATGTATCCAGTGCCGCACTGGTCCGACCTGCCACAGAGAACAGCAACAATGGCACAGCGACAACGGTCACCGATGCAACAAGAACATGAGCAGATTCCATAATTCACAGTATGTACGTATGTAGAACCTTTTTTTTACCTTATGTAGCCAACCATGTTAATCGGAGGTGCGGGGGAAGGAGAACAAACTAAACACAAAAAGCAGTTCTAAAGAAATACATTTTCTATTTAGAGTCCATGACTATGTGAAGAAAGGCACTTTAATAAACAAAATCAATACGATTGTGTGCCAACAATGGTGGCATTTTAATAATTTTAATAGCAATGGGTGCTGATGACAATGATGATAGTGGCATGTATAGATGCCGATCATGACAGCTAGTGGTTATGGTGTTATTTGGTAGTGCTTGCGGCAATAAGTGTTGATCATGACGAAGGTGATGATAGCGGCAGTGTGCATATCGGTTGTGGTGGTTTCTAATGGTGCTTCTGACACTGGTTAGCTCTACCATTGTTGGCTTCCAGGAGGAAACTTGGGGGAGTACAGGCCAGGGTCGGATGTCGAGTTCTGCGAGGCCATGCCACCTCCTCCTGCGCCACCCCCTCCACCTCCACCCTCTGAACCCATCATCTGCTCTGGCCTGCACCACGGTGAAAACCGAGACGACAAATGTTGAGCACAATTTGAATATGTCACGAAGACCACCACAAAAAACCTATTCCTTAAAACCAGGACTCCTGAGCAGCCTCAAGTTCAATCTTTTGCCTTTGGGTTTATAGATCAACGTTTGTTCAAATCCGGTCGTAACAAGTGATAACACACTTTTGGGATATCTGTATTTTAAATAAGAGCACCATAATTATACTGCACACTGCTCAATAGATGTGTTTTCGATACTTGAAGAATTTCTATCGATCAATATGTTTTGCTTTTCTAATTCATATGTATAGATGGACTTGAATGATGTGAATTGCAGCTTCGTTTCAAATGTGTTTTATAAACAGGCAAGGGTTTCATCAGTCTAGTGTATGCCTGAGCTATGGTTAAGCTTCCATAACCAACTGCATTAAGCTAGTTGGGTTGCATGTCCTTACAATGTTAATTCACTCGGGTTTCTTGAAATCCAATAACAATCACCAACTCAATATAAATGAAAACACAAACTCCTGTTACCGTCGTTCGTAGCTTGGAGGATACTGAAGGTGTGGTCTTGGTCCCTGGCTGTAGGGGTCTCCGGGACCGCCTCCATAGCCCTCCGCACCTGCGCACACATGCACACCACACCCCCCACCCGTCCGTCATTGCAGGCTCTTGTACCCCACAGGGAAGTCTTGTTTCCACAAATGCAAATGGTGAGTGGCCCTATCTTCAGAGGACACAAACGACTGAAAGTCATTCGAGAAAGATGAATGGAGGCTCCAAATGGCTCTTGACAAGAGGCACAGACCATTACGCAAAAATAAAATGACATCGAATGCCACCAACTATGCCCTGCGGCCCTCACCTCTCCGGGGTGGATATCCGTCGTAGGGTCTCTGATACGCTGGATCGGCTCCCCCAGGGTATGGCTCACCGCTGGGCATGCCACCGTACCTGAAGATACAGAGGGCAGCACAAGATTGAACAGGAGTCAATAATATAGACACGTGCATTAAAAACTGCCACCTCTGCCGATGACACAAACACGGCCGATATTCTGGTTGTGGGGATCAGCTGCAAGATTACAAATAGGCTTAAAGAGAATCTATGTTAAAATAAGATGATGTAAATGATTGCTGATGGTGGCAATACAGTAGAAACCCTCCGAACGCCGTTCATTGTTCCATGAAACCAGTCGTTAGGTGATTTGGTCATTAAGCGAGTATAGGAAATACATCATTCGTTCCGATAGCAACGAAAGTTAACCTTTTTAACCCAAAAAACGAACTTTACAATATTTAAATGGATATTAATACATGAAGATACTAACATTATAAACCGCATAATATTAAACGAAAAATGGTTAATCAATGCATGAATATTTACTATACCTACAACATCCAGTCATTAACAGGGGAATGGTCAATAAGCGAACACACAGGGCTCTATGGAGGCTGGTCGTTAAGCGATTTGTCGTTAACCGGGGTGGTCGTTAAGAGGGGGTTCTACTGTACTCGGCCTTAAGATTTGCATTGAACTGCCCATATAGGACCCACCACTGTGATCTCTACAATGTGTCAAACTTAACATCTCTTAATGATCGACGGCTCGTGCATCAGATCTTATATATTCACGATGTACTTACAAAAAAATCGGCAGACTACCTGCTGGATCTCCTCACTGTTTCGAAGAACAAATGTGACCTAAGGTCTTCGCTCATTTACCAGCTTCACATTCCTTATTGCTGTACAAATACTGGAGGAAGGGCCTTTTTGCTATTGATGCCCCCAGGGTCTGGAATGCTATCGCCAATCAACTTCAACTTGGATCACTACCTGTGAGATCTTCACTCAAAACTGCTCTAGAGTTGTACACCACTAGCTGCCACTGCTATTCAGTGTCCTGAAATCAAATGTATCGCTCTGGATGACCGCTGCCAAGTATGATCTTGAGTTTTGACTATAGTGTGCTGATCTTTAAAGGTGCATTGAAAAATGTTGATCCTCCTACTGATACTCCTGCTGTTATGGAGTGACTCATGCTGCCAGCTATGGCTGCAAAGTTTGGTCATACATGTTATGTATATCGTTTGTTAAATTTTAATCACAGTTCCTATGATTAATGTTACATTGTTTTTATAGCTTTATCTTGGTGATTTCGAAAACATTTTGGTCTAGCCATATTTGTTTATTGTAGTACAGAGTTAGACTGATAACTTTAATCTAAATTGTCTTATGGTTGTTATTGTTTGACTTGCATCCCACTGGGATTTTTGCACACAGCGTTGATGTACAGTGCTTTTTCTGGAAGGCTTTGCTGTTTTTTTCCTGGATTTTTCTGTTGCGCGGAGTCACTTTAAGATGTTTCTTGTTCATGTTTTTGTTTGTTGCGGTTGCACCCGATTCAAGAACCGAATGGCTCACAGGGCTACACCTAATAAATGAACTGTAATGCTACTTCTGTTGGTCAATCACTATTCAAATTCAAATAAAAATAAGATTAATCCAATGTGTGCCAATGATGGCGTTGGTTGCTTGAGTGGTCCTAGTAGCAATACCACTGTTGTGCCTCGTGAGACCAAAGTAATAGCAATAGCTCATTGATAAGATGTAAAATAGGATAGATGGCCTAACAGTGTTCAAAGGAAGTGCTGTTGGCAAACACCTGATGAGGCCAGTACAATGCAAGGTGGTGATATGGCCATCACAACTCACAAGGGAGAGATAAAGCATTAAAACAAACACAGAAGAGGCAAAAAGTGATATTTGAATCGAATCACGACTTTCTAATCGTGACACTTTGTCGAATCCACCCGTGGCAGTCTCTCCACACGAAACTCTAAATCAGCAGGATGATTCCCCCGCGACGGCGAAAAACAAAATCCGCATGAGGTGGATTTAATTTGCTATTGTTATTGTTGTTGTCGTCGTTGCAACGCCGGCTCACAAGAGAGCCTCACCGGTTCTGGTGGGCAGGGGGCACGTGGGGCCGCGGCGTCGACACCGGGGTGGGTGGCTTCATGTCACTCAGTCCCTCCAGCGGCTGCGGGGTCAGGGGGCCCTGCGTAGAGCTGGAGCCGGCTGCAGTGGGGCAAGAAAACAGATCCTTTTCTTTAATAAAACCGCAGTCCGTCCAAGTACCGCGCGTGATGGTAGTGCAAGGGTAATTGCATTCTGTTCGTTTTAACTCAAGTGTCTCGCTCGTTGTTAAATCTCCAGTGCCTTGCCTATGCGTGCATGCATCTTATATGTTATGCAGTTTGGCCAAGCGACATCACATGAAGCCTCCTTAAGTGTAATCTTTGAAGCAAATGAATTGCCTTGAAAATATCCGAAAATACTTTGACTATTAGTTACGAGTCAAACTACTGCGCGCAAAGGCCATTTATTCTGTGGCGCGGCAACATTTTTTGAGAACTGTGCTTAAAATTAAAAACTGTACATGAGCTAAGTAGAGATTTGAAAAAAAAAAGTCATCTCGCAAGGAATAGCCGAGCACTTTTTAAATCAGGCAATCGCTTATTTCAATGAAACATTCCATGCGATCAGACAGACCCAACTCAGCAAGTGAAATAATACAGGAAGCACCATTTATCGCACCACAAAAAAAGAAACAGCATTTCAGGAGCAGAGTCTCGAGCCAGATGTATATCTTGGACGGGGGGGGGGGGGGGGAGTGTGCACGCGTGTGTGGGTGTAGTGGGAATTGAACGAGGGAGGGGTGAGGCGAGGGTTGGGGGATGGGTAGGTGGTGGGATGTGATTGGGGGGGGTAAGCGGGTTGCTTATTTTAGGTCAAGTGCGGAGAGATCTATTTTTAGAAGACGCCGTTGCCAACTTTAGACTTGGCGACGAAACGCCAACTCTGTGCGCCGCAGCTGCTGAAAATAAGGAAAGGCAAACCGTGATGCGCCTAATGACACACTGACACAATTTTAACCCCAGCCCGTGGGAAGCGGCAAATTCTTTCTCTCTCGAATAATAATATTAATAATAAAAATAAGAGCACCCGACCGGGCTGACAAAACAGCGTCGTGTTTCGCACGGGCGGTAGGGGGCAGACAAAGCGTTTTTGTGGCTGCAAGATTAATGGTGGAGCAGGCGCCGCTCTCTCATTGCTGTCACAGGATGGTGTGCAGCGTTACGTGGATATTTGCACGACTCTCTACACAGGAAGGGGTACCCCCGGAAAGAACAAGAACTGTTTGTGTGCACGCATCCAGCCTGCGTGGCCCACGCTGTTCAAGACTCATGTTTGAAGCTAGGCCTCGGCAAGGTAAGGTAAGGTAAAAGTTAAAAGGTAAAAACAACGAGCCTACCTTTACGCTACCTTTTACCTTACCACAATACAATCACTCTACCCTACCTTTTACCCTTCAGCAGGTAAGGTAAAAGGTAAAAAGCAACGAGCCTACCTTTTACCCTTACCCCATACAAATTACCCGATTACAGGGTAATTACTAGGGAACTACACATCAACAAGGTTTATAACGGTAAATGCTAGGTAGGGTGCTTTATTAATATAGAATACTCTCGATGATTCCAATTTTACACGCTTTCTATTAACTCACTGCCTGTTGTTGTTGTCGTCGTCTCTACCCACTTCCTAATGTGGTACCGACTGCAAACTTCGTATACTTATATCATACCGATGACAATACTATATTCTATCATTAAACAAATATATATTTCTTAACATTATTTTTTATATGTTATGTTTCGGCTTGGGTCTAATTGTCCACGGTCAACTGACGTTGGCTGTAATTGGCCACGGTCCCTTACGTTATGGCAAGCTTCGGGGCCACTTCCTGGAGTCGTGGAGTTCTGCCATTACTCGTACATTTAATAAAAGCGTGTTTAAAATTTTTTTTTTTAAATATTACTTATTAAATGGAGGCCACGGACTGCGCCACGGAGCTTTTAGCGGTAAACAAGGCACTGTATTTACCGGGTAATAATTCGCGCTATCCTTTACCCTACCGGGTATTTCTTCCGAGCTACCTTTACCCTACCCTTTACCTTACCCCTTGGCATGTCGACACCTTTACCCTTTTACCCGGTAAAAAGGGTAAATTACCTTACCTTGCCAAGGCCTATTTGAAGCCTCGTTACTGAAAAGGGACAAGCTTTATTAAGATGACAGCCAGAGGTGGTCGTGAAAGAAATGCGCGTGCGAACCCCCCCCCCCCCCCCCCCCCCCAAGTGACATCACTAGATCGCTCCTCTCACTTCGATTTTCAATTATTTTTCACCCTCATTATAGAAGCTTCAAACTCATGTCAGACAGCCCGGGACACAGCAATAGTTCATGTAATTCAAGATGAGAGCAGTTTGTATTTTCTGTGGCATCTTCCCCTTCACTCTGAGTGAGCCCCAATATATTCCACGGGCCCCGAATAAGAAATGTCACTTGCTCACACTGCCAAAAGTGGTAAAAATGTAGCTTTTTTGTAAAGGTGAATTACTAAAAATGACATTTGGATGGAATAACCATGGAAAGTTAGTAAATGTCACTACACCGTTGCATGACCATACAAATAAACTGATACCATTAACGTTTTGCCACCTGAGGTGGTGCTTACCTCTAATCTAGCCCATGGACCAAAGCTAATTCAATTATGTTCATTTCATAAGGTGAGAATCAATTTGGACAATTCGGTCACTTTTGCAAGGGAGACCTAGGTACACAAGTGATACCACTACAGTTAGAACTGAATACACAAAGCTAAGTGATCTTAAAGATACATTCTTGCCTACAGGACAGAACTGCTAAACTGTTACTCAACGAGACCCAAGCAAACATGAAACGCCACGGGAGGAAGCAGTTAAAGCGATGAATGATTATCCTCACGTTAAAAAACAAGATATGTTCTGTTTTCATTGCCACGTTGTGTTACAATGGGGGGGTAATCCCCCCCCCCCCCCCATCTGTCACCACAAACTGTATACTCTACACCGGTCTAACTTACCCAAGTAAAACACTGCAAAAGCCATATTGGTTCACCTCACCTTGGCGCCACGAGGCACAACCATTTACCGTTATGAACCCACAGTTTTCAGACATGCCCGGAAAAGTGCTATATAATGCACCCGAATTGGGCGAGGCGGAGCAGCCTCATGATTCATGGCTTCGGAGGAAAGGGTTGGTGGATCACGCCTGTCAAAAACCACAAACTCACTGGGACGGGGTCCCAGTAAACCCATCTGTGCGGACCATTGTTACATCTGCTCTGTGTGCGTTGTTTCTCTGGGTACTCCAGTTTTCACACAAACACACAAACCAAACTCATTAAAATGGACCTGGCTGGAACATCCCAATGCAGCGGCTATCCTAGGGAAAAAAAAAGAGTCTAAAGGACTCAGTCGGGGTTTTCTGTAAAAATAAATTAACAAAATCTTTTTGCACCCCCGCTATAATTGGGCTGAGGATGGCCAGGAAGGGTGTGCATTGGGTCATAGTCGAGAGGGTTGGGGGGGGGGGGACCCAGGGCCAATGTAAAATAATATTGTTGCCAGTAATTATTTATACTGCCCCCTCTCCCCACTGGGGAACGAAAATTGGTTTCCTCCAGCAAAGAAAAATCCTCCCTATTTAGGGTTAGGTCAAGTTACATAGGTTAGGACAAAACAGCGAGGTTGCTTGGGGAAAAAGTCCAGACAAAACAGATGGTATGAAAAAGTTCAAACTAACCCTGTAAGCAACCATTTTTGGAAAGTAGTCTTAAAAGTTAGCCTCATTTGAAAAGACGGTGAGACTCGCAAAACAAATATTACTTTGTTATAAACGAATAATACCATACAAATATTCCCAAGTTAAATGGCAACTCCCAAACACTGGTTCCCTTGGGAGAAATTAATATTCAACCTCTGGAAGAAACAAATATTCAGCGGAACGTACGAATCCAACCACCGGTGACAGTGGTGGTGTGATATGGCTGCAAAGGTACCCGGAGAGGGCGGCTGAATCTTGGGTGTCTTCTTGTTGTCGGAGGGGTTGAGAATCTCAGGTGGCGGCTCCTCGCCGCGCTCCGTCTTGCACTCAAAGGCAAACAGGAACTGGATGTACTGCTTCTTGAGCGAGCTGGCCGAGCTGCTGGACGTGCCCACAGCCAGCTGCGTCGACAGCTCACGCCATTTCTTCTTCTTGTTTACCTGCGGTCGACGGGGGTAAAAGTGCGGTGGGGGTGCGGCAGTGGGAAGAGGGGGGGGGGGGTTAGTGTTACACAGCCAGAAGGGCCAGCTCCACGTAAAAGACAAACGGGAGAATCCCCTATTGTATGTACCATATCCTACTCATACTCTTTGGGTAATTTCGGAAAAGTCACGTAGATAGAAAAATAAAATTAAAATCATGACGTTTCGATCGCAACACAAGCAATCGTCTTCAGGTGAACTGCTGAGGCAGGAGAAATAATAATATATTTCTCCTGCCTCAGCAGTTCGCCTGCTGTGTTTTTTGACCTGAAGACGATTGCTTGTGTTGCGTAGATGGTGCTCGTGTTAAAACGGTGCGCATTCCACTCACCGTTATAAACACGGTTTCTAAAGCGATCGACGACGAACTACTTTCGTGAGATGCGTGGCTGAACGGCAAGATGCCTGGAATGCCGTGCTCGACTTACTAGTTTCAACCCCCCTCCGCTGGTCCGACTTACCTGCACGAAGCCACCGTACGCCTTGGCCGAGGCGTATAGGCGGAAGAGGTCAAGCGGGTTCTTGCCAACGGCGGGCAGGAGCGCGACGGGCGAGCCACGTTGCTCCATGAAGCCCAGGTAGCGGTCAACCCAGAGGCGTCGCTCGGGCTCAGGCCCCAGCTCGTAGAGGCGCATGATGCTCTCCCCCGTCGTGGTGGACGATCCCGACTGCGCGACAACAGGGGCAGACGCACGCACGCGTTGTGGGTCAATCGTCCCCGCCCACCACCCACACGTAGCCTCTTAACTTCCACACCGCCCCCCCAACCCATGCCATCTTGCCCAGCCAAAACCTACAACTTCAACCCCCTGCTGTGCACCGGTACATCCATCCGATCAGTATGTCCAGGACTCATCTCACCGCATTCACTTCGTCGCAAACGTTTCACCGCGCGGCTGTTTGGCGGTTCTCCGCTTGGTGCCCACGTCGTTTCAAGACGAGACACACTGGCCTTGGTGCTAGGCTTCAGCTTTTTGGGGGACAAGTTTAAATTACATCACGGGGGATTTTGGTTAGCACCAGGGTCTACGTGCGACGAAGTGAATGCACGATAGGGAAATGAATACGAGACTATAAAAACTGGGACAAAACAAACGGCCAGGGAAATGACGTCCCAAAAGAGCTGCGCCACAAAACAGATGCGATGAAGTGAATGTGTTGAAATGAAGAGCGACGTACTGACCGTACCGATGACACCCAAATAATTTCCTCCCCTGAAGAAACCATGACCACATTCTCATTGTGCAAAAAATCTACTTGTGTTGGGTTTCTTTATCTCTGCATGTGAACATGTGAACACAAGTCAAGATAGATGTCCATAGACTTACATCAGACCAGGTTAGATTTTAATTATATTGCTAAGTTAGAGTAGAAACATGTATAGGACCAAGTAAGATATAAAAATTTGGTCTGACATACGACGTTTGTATGATTTAAAAACTTCCTTCTTTACGGTCAAATCAATGAGCGTGCAAGCGTTGACTCATTGTATTAAAAATGACAGGATTTTATCTGCGGTACAAACTTGATTCCGCTATCATGTGCATTCTGTCCTGTCGGCAACAAACATAATTACTCAAGCCTACAGGCAAAAATGCTATATAAAACAGCACACCCAGGACAACAATTTAACCAATTTTGGGACAAAATAGAAATGGCAAGATATGGTTTGAAATTCTTGAGTGTGTCAACAGAGCATGCAGCAGCTTTTAAGATCAAGTTTCATCTCCACTGTTAAGCAGTCTCCACGTGGGAGATAGTGTTTACAAGTCCCGAGCTTGAGCAGACGAGGAAGAGAAATTACCGTTCAGCTTCGAAGACATGAACCTGACGGAATGTGATTTCCTTCTTAGCACACGCACACACGTGACACGCCTGATCGCACTCGCAACCATTCATGAAATGGAACGTAGGCTGGGAATCCATGAATACTTGAAAGGCTAAATCTAGCAAAAAAAATCAATTCACCTGAATTGCTTGTTGTTGCCATAACTAATAATTCAACAATTTTATTTGTTAAATGGAAGAATATTTTTTTGCGATTTAACGGCCATCACAGTTGCACTTTATTTGCTGGGATTAAAAGAATGAGCTGCTCCAGTTGCCCGATAAGCACACACCACCATCCATCTCCCTTCCCCTGGCCATGTCTTTCAAGAACGGGAAAAATGAATCTCGGTAAGCGACGGTAAAAGGTAAAATTTTGATTTAAAGCTTTCGTGACTGCAGGGATTCATCTTCTTGGTTCTTTCGGTAAAGTCACGTAGAAGTGAAGTAATAAAATAATAAAAACGTCGTGAGAATTATTTTATTGTGTTTTATTTTTATTATTTTATTACTTCCCTTCTACGTGACTTTACCGAAAGAACCAAGAAGGTAAAAGGTAGAAGAAATTAATACAAATAATTTAGCAACAGCAGAAGCACCGTGAAGCCGAGGATGCTTGAAGCACAATAGTGAAGGAGACACCAGCGGCCATTTAAACACTGGGGGACACACAACCACTCCTCATTGGTAAAAGCAGGCGGCTTGAATTTCTTCCTCGTACAAATTTTATACTCAGATTTAATGAGAGCTGTACAACGCAATGTGGGTCACACTCCATTAACGGAATTGCCTTGTTTTGTTAATCAAATTGAAGTACTCTTCGCCATCGTCTTGACAAGATGCGAGGGCGGAGGGAGTGCGAGAGGAAGGGAGGGAGACGGACCAGAGCACGGTGGCAGCAATCACGGTAATTTACCCCTTGCCCACAGCCTGCCAGCCTCCCCCCCACCAACCATACAAATAAATATCCCACTTCAAAGTGCGTGAAATCCTGCAGACGATAGACCGTGGGCGCAAGTCTGGGGTCAATTACAGTTTACCGAGCAAGGAGGACCTTGTGTGGTTTCCTCAAAGCTTAGCTGGTTTTAAACACCATCAAAGAAGTTATCCCACCAAACAAAAAGTGCAACTATGAGTGTTCAACACCACAAGGGATATTTTTCCTGAGCTTTCACCCAGCCAATTAACCGTTTAGCTGTATTTTAAAATAAAGTTACAGGAAGACTGTATTTTAAGTAAACGAGAAGGTGACGCTTTATCTGCTGAAGAGTGAAATTATTTTCCATTACGAAATGAGAACCACCTTATACCCAACCCCGCATCTCATTGTTTCCCGTGACTTAGCAACAAAGCCAGCTGCAGAAGGTTGTGTGGACGCACACACACCTCGCTCGTTCGCATACGCACGCAAGCACAACGTCTAGGCGCCAAAAAGAATGTGCAAAAAGAAAAATGCTAAACGAGTATTAAGAAAAAGCGCATGCGTTGTCATGTGCTTGGGACGAACACAGTCGCAGCAAAGCAAAACCACGTAGAGGAAACAAGGAAAACCACGATGCCGCGGATCACCGGCCGCAAACGAGATGCACGCGCACACACAGGTGTGCGGGTTATCACTGTTGGTTGGGCGAGTGGGCACACTTACAGGGCTATCGTCGGCTGAGCGGCAGGAAAGGCTACAGGTGCCGGGGGACTTAAGGGAGGGGGCGGGCGGGTGTGCCAAGGGGTAGGGCTGGGAGCTGCCGCTAGCCTGCGGTCACGCAACACGACAACACAACGGTAAACCAAAGTGTGCGCGCAGGGCGGCAACGCGAGCCGAGACAGCGGCGCACGTCGGGGGCTGCAGTAGTGGCGGGTAAAACGGCACCCAAACGTAGAATGGGGGTGGAAAAACAAAGCCCGAGAACCTCGCTGGGTTTCACGAGGACGAGCGGTGCGCGTCTGCGCGCAGTCCCGCACCTAAGTGGCGCTTGGCCAAATGTAGAGCCGCAGAATTTGTTTTTGCTCAAGCGATAGTTTGAAAAGGTTGAGCGGTGTCTAATGCTAAGCAACATGCGTTGGTATTGCGAATCGTAACAAGCTACACGACTTATGATGTTAAAACTTTGTATTTTATCACTTTACTTTGTGTCAATGGCAGGGGGTAATTTGACTTCTGAGTTATTTGCACATGTGTGGGTTGTTAAAAGCTTGCGTATGAGGAAGGCAGTAAAAGCGGCGCTTTAAATGAAAATGACAGCAAAGGTGGTGAAAAACAATGATCAAGAGGGAGATGATGCTCATGGAAAAGCCACACCTGAATGAGACTGCGATTATTTTTTTAACAAGCACCTCAAATTTGTCTAAACAAGGATTTGCAATTAATAATAAAAGTTGTTGGGTTAGATCGCGTAAGTATTAATGTGTCATAACCCTCCACCACCCGACAAGGCCAGTAAGGTTTGTCGCGTAAACAACGCGTGCCAATTAGTGACTACTTCAGCCCAATGGTGTATTGGAGAATAAATCCACAACATTTATAATTCTAGTACGACGTTTCGTTGGTAATTATATCTAGCATCATCGGGCAATTTTCCAGAATAGTGAAGCAATCCACCTGCTTCCGATCTTAAATATAGCAATATGACGTCATCAATCAGGTGCGGAGAGCAGAGGGGGAGGGGAGGTTTATTGGATTTGCAATTTTCATAATTCCCCAAAAAATTTGAACAATTCTAAATTCTCAGTATTGTAAAAAAAACTGCTCGAATCCACTTTTTTAATGAAGGTAAATCGATTAAAGCTAACCACCCAGCACAAAGTGAGCACCACCAAAATGAAACGTTATATTCTTACGGAGGGTTTAATGTTGCATGTGGAAGACTGGAGGCCGTGTGAAACCTAGTGCACAGCTTGAGCAATGCCCCCGAGAGGAGTTGTAAAAAATAATTGACTACCGAACACAGAAATGCTTGGAGAACAGATGACTGTCGAACAACAAGTGGTGAGTCATGCAAGTCTCAGGAGCCACGTGGATAACGCACAGCCCAACTGCTTCTCCCTCGCTCAAGAGCACAGAGTGTGGCCTGTGATCTACGCACAGCTGACTCGACAGCTCACTACTGTAGAGCTCTGGCAAGCGCTCATTTCAGGTCATGCCGACCCAGGGGAGATCCGCACTGGAAGCTCATTTTAAGGTCAAGTCAACCTAGCGGATCTCATTAACGAATTAAACATTAATAATATACTACTCCTTGCAATAACTTAACGCGTTAATATGTGCAGTTAATGGTTTAAAGGCATTTGTCAGAAATGAATGCCTTAAACTTCAACTCGATGACGCACACTGCAAAGAGCAAAAAGTATGAAATGAAAATGAAAAGTCACCATCTCAGCATAAATTAAAAAAATGGAATGATCAAACTAAAACATGACAATTCTTTTTTAAAGTTCAAAGATGCAATATTGAACATACACGAGCCAATAATCTATCTCGAGTTCTAATTCAACGTGAACGTAAATTACGTTTCAGTGGCTGAAAACAACACCCTCATTTTTATTTCACTTGATAAGTTATTTTTACGAGCGCCACGACCCACGGCCTTCCCAACGCGCACGACCATCTCGGCCTGCAGAACGCCGCGCTAAGAGCAAGATCACAAAAGTCGCGCGTGGCATTAGCGAGCCATTTCTAAAGACCCCCACACAGCGACAAAGACTTGGGCGGAAGGGTCACCAAAGTGGCGAGCCACATTACAGGGGAGAAAGAGGGCACAAGAACAAGAGGAGGGTGGAGAGCAGAGAGTCAAGTCATTTAATGGTGGCAGAATGAGGCACAGCCGAAAAAACGTCCAAACCACGCCTCCAGGAAAAAAGCATTTCATCAGAATTCTCTGCTGTTCATTTGCAAAGTCAAAGGATCATTTTACGAGCCGACATGATGACATCACAAAGTGTAAGACTCTTCCTCCACACACACCTGTTGTTTGTCACATAAACGCAGGCAAAGCAGCCCACGTGGCGGATCAATTTTCCAACACCGCCCAAGTGTCAAGTGCAGTTACGACGATGTGGTATCAACTGCTCAAAAAAGATTTGGCCAAAAAGCTTCCAAAGTACATTTCAAATGTCCACTGAGTAAAATGGTCAAAACCTCAAAAATGCTGTGAACAGACAGTAAAGACCTCTCTCCCCCTCTCCACCCTGATTCAATACTAGCCCTAGTCATACAGAATTTTGTATATTGGCATTCACACCCGCAATCCCGAAGGGAACCCGGTAAAGGTCTAGCAAAAAAAACCACGTAGGCTGTCGCGACCAAAATCATCCCATAATATAGATTTTTGGGTTAGATTGCGTAAATATAGATGTGTCGTTAAACCCGCCATCACCCGACATAGCAAATTATTAAGATTCGTCACGTAAACAGAACATGCCAATTCGTTACGAGTACAACACACCGGTGTGTTAGAGAGATTGTAAATGTTGTGGATTTCCTCTCCACACCAGTGTGCCGAACTATTATCTAATTGACACATTTTGTTCACGTGACAAACATTACTAATTGGCTGTGTCGGGTGGTGGCGGGTTTAACGACACATTTATATTTACACGATCTAACCCCAAAAAATAAATATTACGAAGAAAAAAACAGACCATGTAATATGCTGGAGACAGCAACTTGTAAACACTGAAACTACAAATTTAACAGAAATGCACTACACTTTATTACACAAATCACTTATCAGTCTGAAAATGCACCTGGTGTCTTAGGCTTTACTTGAATTTGTCAGTAACCCTGGAAATGCTGCAATGTTTAAATCGCAAAAACCCTCGGTTGAAGGTTAACAGCAAGTGTAACTTTTGAAAAACTTTGCCCATATTTGGCTTCTGATGCCGTGCGGTATACAAGCCAAAATCATATCGCTTGCTCAAGGCTTTTGTAACCAGCAGATGGCCAAGTTGAGAGCATGAGCCATTGTTCAACAAGTTATATTCTCATTTGTTCAACCTCCAAATTACCTAAATGTGTCAAAAAATTTGGTAAATAAACCACCACACCATTTAACAAATGGGATCGGATCTACCGGATAAAGAATCATCTTTTCCAAAAGTATAAGAAGAGAATTTCAAAATCTGTCGAGCAACTTGGCCGCATGCTGCATGTTTAATTATTATAAACCAGGTAAATTGAAGTGCCCTCCAGGGCTCCAAGTGCTAACTAGACGTCTACGGCTTATAGGCCAATGTGTAGTACCTGGAAGAAATTCATTTTGTTAATACGGTTATCGAAGGGCGCTGTGGTAGTGGTGATGGAGGGGGGGGGGCTGCAGTTAGAGTCAAAGGGCGGTTCAGAACCAGCATATTTATAATGGGAAAATCCGATGAGCTAGAAAGCTCTTTTTCACAGATGTCCAGTCGGGGGCGGGTTGTGCACCGTACCTTGGACTTGACGTCGCTGGCCGGTTTGTCTCCCTTCCCTTTCGCTGGAAGCTTTGCCTCGGGTGCCAGCCCAGAGGGGGGCGCCGCGTAGCCTCCTGATTGGTCAGAGCAATCGTGGATTTATGTGGCAGTCAGCAGCAGATTGGGGGGGGGGGGTGGGGAAGCAACATCCAGACACAACTTGGTCACCTGAACCCTACATGTGCACTGCTGTTATTATTTTAACACAAGATCCCTTTGGCTACTGCTCTCTATGCCACTGTATGTTACTCATCTTTAGAAATGCATTAAACCTATGAACTGCAATTTGACAAAGCAATGCATTAGAAACAAATGTCATGAAAAATGAAGGTTATTCGTGCTTGCTTTTACTAACAATGTCAGGTCAGTAGTTAAACCGTTAAAAACTAAATAACGAAGTGCGCAATAAAACAATGTCAACAGTGGCAATATGAATCGTAACTCATTCATAAATGAACGCTAATAATCTTAACACAATAAAAAAACTATCTAATGAAATATATCACTGTCCATAAACATCTCTAAACCTGACAATTAACACACACAGACACATCGGTAAACCTCATAGCCTGTGCAAATGGCTAACTTGTGCAAAGCTTACAAAAGCATCCACCATCCAACGGATTTTCCCGTCGATTTGTGAATATACATTGAACTTATTTTGCACCGTACGTAGCCAACCGTGCTAATTGGAGGTGCAGGGGAAAGACAACTAAACACATATAAAGCAGTTCGAAAGAAATGGGTTTTTAATCTAGATAGCTCCCGGTGGATTCCTAATATCGCAAAGAAGAAGTGTTCCAGACGGCCACAGAAGTGCATCTGAAAGCGCGCACGACGCGGCACCCGTCTTTGTTCGATGAGTAGCCAAAAATCTGCTCCGGGGAGAGACCGGAGTTTGCGAAGTGGTTTATTGCTCCTTAACGAGATCAGCGAGGTCTTGTGTTTCATTTGCGGCCTCGTACCTGGCAGGCTGTTGGGCATGACAGGGCCGGATGGGCTCATCATGGCCTGCTGCTGGGGATAGCCGCCGTGGCCGTAGGGCGGCACCCCGGGACCCATTGCACCGCCCTCGTACACGCCAGCCCTGCGATGCACAACGCATAAAAATATATATAAAACGTACAGATTTTTTGTCAATCCGGTGATGAATGAGCGCCTCCCCCTCACCGTGACGATCGTGAGGGGGGGCAGGGAGTGGGAGGGAATTATTTAACCGTAATTCACCACGCTGGTCAGGACAGGATGAAGGCAGGGAGCACAGGTGTGAAATTATTAGAGTATAATACGATGGAATTGATACACAGCCCACCAAACCACATAAAACGCAAGTCTTTTTTTTTATAAAACAAACATACCACTCAATGTACTATATAAGTGTTTACCAAACTGCAGTCCTTGTAACCGCCGTGATATGCTTTTCCCAATTACCAGCCATGGACATGCATGCAATATGCAGTGGAGGCATATCAATTGGAAAGCATGCCCCCCCCCCTTCCTGGAAGGCTGCACACCATGAATGGGGTGAATATACTGCAGTTTGACAAAACTTTAAACTATATAAAACTACATTCAGGTCCATAAGCAAAAAGACACGAATGCAACATTTTTAAAAGTATTCCATTGAAGCAGGCAATAAAAACCTGCATGGTGTTGCCTGTAAAAACAAATGCCGCTGGGTTTCCTGGCACTCTTCACACAAAATCATTTTACAAACACCGTAGAGGCACCCAGACACCGTATAGATATTTTATGCTACCACCCTTTGTTCTACCGCACACATGTACAGTAAAGGGATTACTTTTTAATGTCAATGCATTATGTAAAACAAAATTCAGCAGTCACCCCCCACACTATCATTCCCCCTTAATCCCATTCCTCTACCCATTTCCCACACCTCCGATTAGCGTGGTTGGCTACATACGGTGCAAAAAAGGTTCAACATACAAGCAGCTAAATTCATGCCTAATCCTCAAAATGCCCAAACGAGCAAAGGTGGGGGATGCTCATCTCTATTTTCCACCCTGACTCGGTGGAAGAAATGTATTATTCCCACGGTGGGCATCAGTCTGCTGCAGTTGCTTTCATTCATTGTAAACTCTGCTCATCTGCACAGGAATTATGCCCTCCGTTGGTGTGGACGATTGAACGTCGTGTAAAATACCAACATTTCACGCAATTACATCACGTGAACAATTATGGCAATGTTTTAAACACGGAACAAAATCCAGGAGTCACCCCACCCCCCCTCACTCCGCTTCGTCAGAGGGGACCAGAGCTGATTCATTCTGACGGCCGATCTCAAGGACCGAGGAAGAGCGAACACGACGGATGTATGGCGGCCACCTGCTGTTGGGCGGCCCAGGCGGCATGCCGTTGAGGCCCATCTGCGCGTCGGGGGTGTTGCTTCCGCCGTAGGGACGGGACAGCGCGCGGCTCACGGGGCCACCGTAGCCTCCCGCTGGCGGAGCCTGACCCATGCCCTCGCCACCAGGGCTCAAACCATCACTGCTCGAGCTCCCGTCCGGGAAACCGCCGTAGCCCGGCGGCATGCAGTTACTCGCGTTGACTGCTGTGGATCAGAAGCACAGCAGCAACGGGCATGAGCACAGGCGTGTACAGGATCCTCTTGCTATGTGTGATTATTCTGCCTGTGTGCGAAATCGCATCTGGGACTATACACGAATTGCATCGAGAAAGAAAGTGACGAGAGAATGAGACGAGAGAACGTGACGAGAGAACATGATGCAAGAAAGGGATGAGATGAAGTGATGATAAAGTAATGATGCACGGCATCATAATTTAAGGTAAGTTCATTTAAATTGAATACTTTCATATTTATTTACCGTTATCACCATTTTTTGTGTTATGATAATTTGCATATTTTGAATAGCTTATTCGTATATTTATGCAAGGTAAGGAGCATATCCCTCGCGAATAACGAGGGAACAGTGTTCACAAAATACACACACGCAGTACAATGGCTCACAACGGTGTACCCCACACCTTAGTAATGTATTCTCACACGGTACTGTAGCTGCAGTTACTCAACAACACGTAGAAAACTAAAGTATAAACTACATAAAAAACTAAAGTATAAACTGCATCGCACCATCAGTATACTTACTATACTCTATAATAAGCTGAGTTACTAACAGCAAGTAATAACTCAGCTTATTATAGAGTATAGTAAGTATACTGATGGTGCGATGCAGTTTATACTTTAGTTTTTTATGTAGTTTATACTTTAGTTTTCTACGTGTTGTTGAGTAACTGCAGCTACATATCATTAACATTCCTTTCCTTTGTTACTGCTAATCCCTGCACCCCCCTTGGTTGCTGCTGATCCTGCATAATGCATGGGCATAATATGACTTTGACACCCCCCCGCCCAACGCCTACGCATTTTCCATGAATATGCTAAATCCCTCTTCACATGCACATTCTTTTTGTTAAGGCGCTCTTCAACCCCCAATGCAGCTTATATATAAGCTCCTAGTTTGGTAGTGTCTCATTCTTCACCTGAAGACGGCTGCTTGCGTTGTACCAAACACGCTTCCCCTCCAGTGCTCAGGCTCCACACAACAGAGCAGGTTTGCACCGTTATCAATTGTCAGGTGTAGCCAATGCGATTTAGTACTGGGGCAGTCTCACAATCCCAAGACAGCAATCGTGATGAGATCCCTGGAATTGAACACGATTCTGAACAGGGGTCGTGGAATTTATGGAATTGTGGAATGGTCGGTATTTTTATTTTAGCAGGCCAAAAGCAAGTCAGCTCGTGGAGATTCCTGGAATCACCGCTAGAATTCCAGTGATTTTAACAGTACCTCAGACAATATATGAGGAGTCTAAGGGTTATTACTGTGCTGTCGGAGAAAGCCCACTTCTTTCAATGGAGACTCGTGCATCTCCATTCTAATTAATGGGATTATATGACAGCCTAAGTATTGTTAAATGGAATATCATTACTTGTAATGGAAGCATATGAATCGCCATCGAAAAGAATGGGGATTCTGACAAGTTGAGAATGGTTAACATAATCCATTATTCTAATTTCGATTCCTGGGTCTATTAAAATGAGCGAAATTCTATTTGCAATTCCAAGAATCACCACGAGATGGCACACTGACCCTGGTGGCATCCCATTTAAGTGTATGGAGAAATTAATCATAGAAGATTTGTTTTCATTCTTTAGCTATCGTCAATGGTGGAATTGTAGAATTTTTTAACAATTCCTGCAGGAATCACCCAGCACTACTACTTAAAGCCTGAACACTCTCCCCTCCTACTGGGTACCATGGTCATGGCCAACCCAGCAATGTGGGCAAAGCAAATGAATTGTGCGCATCTAATCATGATCCAGATTCCAAACCTAAACCATAACCTAGAAATAATACCAGGTCAATTCAGGAGTGGGGTGCTCCGGTATAATAGTTTTTTCCCCAACAAAACCCCATAATTCCCAAGAGGACTACATTTTATTTATTTACAAATCGAAATGAGGGGGAATAGAGTTTGGCAAGTTAGACTTATTGGTCATTTAAATCAAGACAGAGCTAAAGTACTTTAAAGTGAAAAACGAAGAGACAGCTGCAAAACAGTTTCTTACCTTGAGGCCCAAACTGTCCTGCGTGGCCACTATACGGCCCCGCCTGTTGCCCGTACTGCACCGCATACTGCCCTCCCTGCTGCGACTGGTACGGCCCTCCTCCTCCACCGCTGCCGCCGCCGCCGCCAACTCCCTGTTGCCCCGCGTACTGCGGTGGGTACTGCGCTCCCTGGGGGGCAGGAGGGGGCTGCTGTCCGCCGGCGAACTGACTGGGCGCCGATGGCGGCCCGTACTGCCCCGTGGGCTGACCTCCCTGCGGCCCGTATTGCTGTCCGTAACCGGAGTACTGCGGCTGTGGCGGTTGCTGCTGCTGTTGCTGCGGAGGCTGCTGTTGCTGCTGCTGTGGTGGCTGCTGCTGTTGCTGTTGGGGATACTGCTGCCCCCCGTAGTACTGGCTCGGCGCCGTGCGGGGGTACGGCCCCCCCTGGTGCTGCGCGTGCGGAAAGGGGGCGGCTGGGGCAGCCGGGTAGCCCGGGCCAGCTTGGGACGGTCGTGGGGAGAGCGGAGTCATCCCGGCAGCTCCCTGGGGCGTCCCCGAGCCCTTTGGGTATCCTGCGTGACCGACACAGACACGGAGCACCCCTCCTGCTGAGCCTTGCGATCCCAGGTGCAACAAGCTCGATACCGCATCTGTTTACCGCTTATGATGAACTGCCTGCAATATTTGTGTTTCATTATTAATACTGCAGTAACTTTTCATTCATTTCTAAATATATATTTTCAAATTCATCACTTGAATTTCCCATTCATAGTTTCTTCACTGTTATCCAGATTCAGTTGTGCGACTGTAAAGTAGCTAGAGATAACATTGCATTTGAAGCTTTATGAACTCAAATTGGATTTACGTCACATTGGCAAGCACCAATCAAGGCAGTCGCCCATCTTTTAAAGTTGTTAAATTCAGCATCACGAATATCTGCCCAATTTTCGTCTGACCTTTGCAGATACTGACCCCCCAAAAAACATGACTCATTTGAGACTTCGTTGCACTCTTGGAAGGCCAAGCTAGGTTCATTCACCAAATGATGTGTTGTGAAAGATGGTTGCTGGCATGGTCATGCAGTATACCAACAATGACATTATTATTCCCACCCCAATACACAATAGCACACTAATTTTGATATATAATGCATTAGCCTACTTCTTAACAAGTAACATGCACACAATCCTCTCCATTACGGTAATTGCGCAAAATTAAAATTAACAAGATGGATGCGCACTCCTGGTTGGGGGGGCACTGGCTCTTCCATATGATACTTGCAGTCAATACAAGATGATGGCATATACGTATTATGAACTTAAGAACCTACATTTTTACATTAAGAGTACATGCCACATGCGCATTTTTATTGCAGGGCTGAGAGCAATGGTTAGGCATCGGACAAGACCGAAAAAGAGATTAAGAATCATGCATCATTTTCTGGTTTCTTGTGTGCAGTATTTGAGAATGGGTTATAAAATAAACTCCACAATGTGCAGCAGAATTATTCAATTGCCATCGGAGTTCATCTCACTTTAACTTTCAAAGGATTAGGCCTGAATGTGCACAACAATGTATTCAGCTAAATGCACAGTGCAGCACATGGGGGACAAGGGGACTGACTTAATAATTAATTAAATTGTGAATCAAAATCGGCTAAATCAGGGGCAGATAAAGGGCTGGGGGAGTACAGAAAAAGGCAGCAGTAGGGGGGAACTTGTCAATCCGACCCAAAGACAGTTCCGAGGAATACAAACCTCGCTCCTGGGGCCGTGGGGACTGGCTGACCGAGCCCGAATCTGACAGGTTACCGGTGGACTGAGGGGTCATCTGATTGCCTGCTTAGCAACGGGCAGTGGCACGGGAGAAGGGGGGGGCACAAGCACATGACGAAAGGAGGGAGGAGCAGCAAAGGCGCAGAAAGCAAGGAGACAGCGAGGTGTTAGTGCATTGGCGCCAAGTCAAGGACGGAACCACAAAGCAGCAAAACGCGTGCTACCATCAACGGTGTTTCGGTGAAGCCAAGACGGCCATTTTTGGGGCATGGCCGTTTCCGGCACCATTTTGTGTATTCGCATCGGAACACTCTCGATGTGAATTCCACGCCGTACCCAAATTGATGGCTCGAGCAGTAGGTGGGCATTGCGTAATGATTTACGTGGACTGGTTGCTCTTAAGTGCTGCGGACACACATTTCGCAAAATGCCTCTCCCCCAATTTATTTGAGCAAATGGTGACGTCAAACTCGGGGATTTACTGCAACAATAACGAGGAAAGCTGTCGCAGTGTACATCACCCAAGATGGCAGCGCTGGCTTTTCGGGAAAAAAAACAAATGTACTCGGGGTTACAAAGAATCCCATCGCAATTCGAATGCCGACAAGCTGATGGGACGGGGGTGGGGTTTTTAGGGAGAGCTCTCAAATTTGGCATCAGAATAAAAACGTGCAAAACTAATGCATTCAAATGACAGTTCAAAGGAAATTCAACACATCCAATTAACAGCCACGGAAACACCAGAGCGGAAGAGTTGGCTCCAGATTGTGGCGTTTCACGTTTCAAAGCGAGCTCTGAAAATCGCACGGTTAGGCCCGAATGTGCACAACAATGCCTTCACACAGAAACCATTTAAATGGGAAATGTACCCACAAGCAAAGCTGTTCAATTAGCAGAAACAATTGTTATGTTTGTAAGTTCTAAATTCGGCACGCTAACTTAATAAAAAGTTAGTTAATTATTTTGTAGCTTCCGAGAGCTAACATACATTTCAATGTGGGATGTTTATTCATTGCTCCTAGTAGGCATCATGCAATGTTTCTAAAGGATGTAGATGCAATAATATAATCAGTGAAAAACCAGAATGGTTAATGTTGGCTAATTAGGATCCATAAAATCACAGATGACGATGTCAACATGAGTTCTATCGCTGTAAACACGTCGAATAATCCTGCGGATTGTCACTGTGCAGGAAATTAGCCTTTGTTATAAGGTGAGAAAGCTACGAAATGCTCGTTGTTGAAATGCTGCCTTAATTAAGCAGGAACGAGAAAAAGGCAATGTAAGCATAGAATTAGTAACAGCCTTTTTAGAGCGTTAACATGAAAACAATTAGGCTACTTGTGAAAAAATCTACACAGCCATGATTATGATTATTAACAGTGCTATTTAAAGTGACTGTGGATGATGACAGCCAGCACAGCATGTGGCAGTATAATCACTTTACATTAGTTCCTAATTTATTACTGAATAACTATTCTGCCTGGATATCATTTTTTATAAATGGGGAATATTTTGTGTTTTCAAAGTAGGGGAGGAGGGTGGGGGGGGCGGTGTGTAGGTGAAGTTGAGTCAAATAATGTTTGAAACCTGGACAATGCTTACACTGGCAAGAAAACAATATTACATGTTAAACATTTTAACAAAGTGTATTGCGATTGGTGGGGGACATATCTAAAATAATGTTGCTTTGGCTATAATTTTTACATTTTTCAGTGGGGTATCCATAATCAGATCACCCTGTATTTTCAAATGTGTGAAAAACCAGGGTGCATTGAGCAAAAACACCAATGCTGCTAACAATGCTAGGATAATCAAGATCCACTTGCTTGACCTCCACCTGTGTACAAACACCATGTCTTTTGCCCTGCCAGTGGGGATAAAGCCATACAGACCGCCAAGCTCTCCAGCAGCGCCCACCCAGTACACGGGCGGGTGCATCGCGTATCCGTGGGACACAACATCCGTTACGTACCCACGTGCCCTGCGGGTGACAGCGGGCCGCTTCGTGAGCCGGCGGGCGAGCACACAGGCGAGGGGCCTCCCACGGACGGGTGCGGCGAAGGAGAGGCCCCCACGGCGGGCGGCCGAGGCGACTGCGAGGGCGCGTGGTGCGGAGACGGGGACATGGACGGCGACGCCGCGGGCCCCGCTGGGCCCATGGCGGCCGCCGCCACCGCCGCGGCCGCCGCGGCCGCCGCGTTCTGCTGCTGCTGGGCGTGCGGGGAGGGCGGCACGGCGACGTGCGGCGAGTGGGAACGCGACGATGCCGCCGTGACGTGCGGCGAGTGCGGCACGGCCGACAGCGGGCGTGGCGACTGGGAGGACGGGCGTGGGCCGGCGTGTGGGTGCGGCGACGATTGGGTGGTGTGCGTGTGTGGCGACTGTGCCGCCGCCGCAGCCGCAGATGCCCCTGCGGACACGGGTCCGGCTCCGGTGCCCGCCGAGCCGGGCAAGCGCGGGGAGAATGGAGACGGAGCGGAGCGGCTCGAGCCAGAGTCGCCCTGTGATGCCGCCACGTCGTCTCCGCACATCGTCAGGTCGTCTATCTTCCCGGAGAGGTCCTGCAATTACAGGCACGGAAGAAAAATCGGGCACGTGCGCGGCTTCTGCAATGCTTTCCCGCACCTACAATTAGCACAGTTGGCTATGTACGATACGAAAGAAGTTCAACGTACATACGTACACAACAAGCATATTTTTCCTCTGAAGTATGCAAATCGTGATGTTAACTCCCAACCTGTACAATGGGATATATATGGGATGTCACATGACGTGTCATGTTGTAGAAGACTTCGGGCGTAATGATGTCATGGGAAGGGCGCACAGGGGAGCGAGGACACTAAGATATTATAGGTTAGAATCCAAAACTCAGTCACTCACGAATTAAATAATCCCAAAATATAGTTAATGTATGGTCTCAGTCCATTTCCTTGGTAAATACCATAATCAAGCATATTTTGTTGTTCGCAATATTCAGCTGAATCCAGTTCTCAGAAAAAAAACATGGGTTTTTGCCATATAAGGTGTTCCCAAGTTTAAATAAAGAGGTCTGCTTAAGCAACTTGCATATTTCAACTCCTAAGGCCGTCTGTGATACACAAGTGGTATACACCTCGTTTCAAGAATTCCAAATAAGAAATTAAGTCTCACGAGCCGGATAAAGCAATACTAAGGATGAGAAGAGCCAAGAGCATTTGCTTTCATCTTAAACTCTCGAAATATTTGACCGAGTTAGTTGGAGGGACGCAAGATATATATTTTTTAAACCTTTAAAAGAACAATTTTAAAACGTCTCCCTTTATTTAAAACATGGCTGCACGCTCACGAGTGCAACATTTTTCCTGCCAACGCCACCTTGTGCCATTTAGTATCTGGCAAAGCATCAGAACCAGGAAGCTTTTGTTCCTTGAAGTCGACAGTCATAGATTATTTATACAGGAAGAATCGAGACCCTATTCTCCAACACCGGGTTAAAATGAATGTTCTTTCCACTCGTTGATTCGCGTGTTTTTCCACAATTATTTAAATTTTAGACGGTTATTTTACGCATTTTTTTATAAGCCGACACCATTACGTGTAAAGCAGAAAAGCCATGGCCTTGAAGGCACTGCATTTTATTCATACATAGTTGACTGACTTTTAGAGTTCCAAAGTGAGGCAGTGAAAATTAACAACATTATTTTCTTCCTGTCGGCAGAGTACACGAAACATAAGTTGGAGTCGACTTCGGCAGTTTGTCCAATCAAACGGCTGTGAGCCAACACAGCAACAAAGACTACAGCAATAGCTGCTTTTTCTACTTCAGTTTTTATACTTTACCGTTATGGCTCAGGCCATTTTTGGCTTCTTCCTCAAGGGAACCACAATAATATGCTTATTTGGGTACCAACTGGTCAAGTTTTTTGACACTGCCACAAGCATTAGTATGATATTCGTTGAGTATGCAAGTGTTGTGGGTACAACAAATGCTTAGAGTAGACTTACTTACGAACATGTACTTGCACACATATTGCAATAATATCCTCGTGAGGATGAATTTGACATAACTAATGATAATTTACAGTGGTCTCTTCGTCAATCCACTGCCAGTTGTAGGCCTCCCCATATCGTGTCAGTTATGAGAGCTGTTTAACCATACCTAGTGTGGGTTTGATAAAGGTTTGGAAGTGCGAATTTTTAGCCATGGCCATGAATCAAACTCAGGTTTGCCAAATTAACAGCGCAGTGTGCAAATCACTTTGCCACCGATCCCCACCAACGTATTCAACAGCCGCTTTCAAGTGTTCAAAAATGCACCAAGCTAGAATGTTACAAAAATTATCATATTCCCGTTTTGTGGATCAGCCTTTTCACGGGACAACTACCGACGCCGACTTCCCAGCAAGTGGTGCTCTCATCTTAATGACCGTGACGAGATAATGATGGGCTGAGTCGACCCCAAGCTGGGAAGAAAACTTATCGTTTCACGATTAGGAACACTGTAAACTGAAGAGCTTATCTTACCTAAACCGATTCCTCTTTAAAACGCAATCGTTGTGAAATAATAAAAAGACCTTGCCTCTGAATAATCAAAGGGCTCCGATATAAAAGCAGGCTGCAAGTGGGCTTTCAAACCGACGCCACACCTTTCTTCCATGGCACAAAGCTCACACGAGTGGAACTGGGATCCCAGCCAAAACGAGGCATTAGGCCAATCACTGTCACATGACGGCCGCATTAAAGGTAGGAGTTCTCTGCGACGTCTTCTGAACTTTGCGTCGGCGTTATTTTAACAACTTTGGGAGCTGAAAGCACCACGTCTAATAGCACTTTAGTCTTGTCCAAATGCATCATTTTAAGACTTAAAAAACGGTTCTTTTTTTTCTCAGCCATATTTTAAGTCCTATTCTAGTCACGAAGGCCAACACGTTACCAGCTGCTGCAGTCATGCGGTCAGGCCGATTTCAGGCTGCCCGGTTTGAAGAGCCATGATCTTTAGCTTGAGCAAAGGCGGCAGGGAAACGAGCCCGCCGAGGACTGTTCACACACCAAGCCTAACTTTTGTTCACTCAATTTTTGCTCTTCTGGATAGTACGAGCTCCTGCAACTATGCGGGTGTCCACTCTTGTCTCAACAGGGCCCCCCCTCGCTCCCACCATTATTGCGCTCGCCGCCACCGGCGCAATCAAGCAGTAGGGGAATTCTCCTGCATGTGACGGGGCCGCCTGTCTGTCTGCCGCATGATAGACACGGGGGGGCAGGGGGGGCATCGCCACGGCCCAAACGGCAAAAAAAAACCAGAAATGAATTTTTTTTTTAAAAAGGACATCCATCACTTTTGCTTTTCTCGCAAGGACCCAATGATTATCGCCACAGGACACGCACGGGTGAACATCAGCTGACAAGGGCTTTTCCCAGTGGCAACCGGAGAGATACCATTTTTTTGCAATTTCAGGACTTGCTTCAATTTCGTGTGCGTGTGGTTTTACAGGTTGTGAACGAGTGCGCGTGTCTGCAGGTATACGTGAAAATAAAAGATTTACATTTGATTGCAGCTGAGGCCACCAACACTTTCTTGAACTGGCTACATTGTAATTGTCGAAATTCGAAGACCACAGTTCAGCTTTAAAGATTTTCAAGGCAAGTGTCGTTGTTCCCAGTTAAATGTGGTGTGGCTGCGAAACACACACTTAGCCACCTCTGCCGATCGACTATTTCAACGAGGACAGACCCAAGGTTGGTTCCAACACCACAGGGAATTAAATCCGATTCAGTGCAATAATACAGCACGATCCATTTGTAGAATCCCCGCTCTTACGTTCTTACGTTCTTCTCAAACACGTAAGCAAAACACACCGGCTATATTCAACTAAGTATATGGAAAATTATTTTAAAAGATGTACTAAGCGCATTGAGATTGGTGGAAAACGGATCGAGGCTGTGAGGCTTAATAATTTTGTTTTCTCCATCGCGTATTCCCATTATTATTTTAGCGAGGAATCTATGCATGGATCACCCTGTAACATCTGGGTGGCTGGGGACTGACTGCAGCAGTCTCGTTAACTGTCATGCCCCCTGCTTCCCACCACACACCCGTACCGGCAGGCTGGGCGGCCGGCTGTGCTGGGCAGGGTCGTCAGGGCCCGGCTTTCCGGGGCCTGCGTTTCCAGCCGCCACGGCACGTGCGTAATTGTCTGGCACGCCGGTCTCCTGCGGCACAATCAGGCACGCACATACAGGCCGGTTACACACCCCGGAATAACACCCACACAGAGCTCCGAATTTGTGGTGGCCGGGCGGCTAAGAAGGTCAAAAGACTCAAACTAGGTACGGCAAAGATCCTGGGGTTTAAAATCCAGGCAGCCACCTATGCTTAAAACCGGGTTCTGAAGTGAGCAAAGCTGTTGGCCTCAGCCTGGTTACCAACAGCTGCACAAAAAAACCCATCAGATTTAATTTGTTTCTTCTGCGCTAAATTCCAGTTCTACGAGAATAAGAAACAATGTTTTTAATCGTCTAGCACCAAACACAGGGGAGAGCAACGCACTGCCCCCACCCCCAACCCCCCACCCCAAAAAGAGAAATCCAAGCGGAACACGGCGCGCGCACGCTAAATTACGTTGCGCGCAGCAGGTGGAAACGGCATGCACATGTGCGCGAGCAATTCTAAAACCACACGTGAACAGGGTGTATTTGTTATATGGAATTCCGTGAACCCATTGGGGGCTCTTGAACGTCACGCTCATCCACACGAATTGCTTAAAGCTCTCACGCGCGCTCTAATTTTTGACATTTAACAAAAAAAAACTCTGCAAGCCCATAAGAAGCAGCCTCTGCTTCATGGCCAAAGGAGTCAAATTAAACTGTACAGTAGTCTTTTGTTTTTATATTGGAAATATTACATTGCAAATATTTAGATAGTCATTATCCCCCATGACCAGAAAGGCGCTCCCCCAAAGTTTGATTGAGAGGGTTTTAACTATAAAAATAACAATTAAAGATTGAAAGTCACCCAAACTTGACTTACAAATAAGAATTGGGTTTAAGGCTGAATGAATCACACCTTAAGTCAAACCGAGGATTTCCCAGCAATGCGGACCTTGGTGTCCGCTGAGCCACATAGGCCACCCCCCAACAGCTATCATTAAGTGTGAAATTAAACAAAATATGAGGCAATGCTGCGCTGACAGTAGTGCACAAGCACAAATAACAAAAAAACAATATTCGTCAATAACACTGCCTTAAAAAGAAATGTATACAATAGGCAACGTTTCAGGCAATGGCTCTCCTTCACAGCCCATAATAAAAGTGCGTTTTCAGAGGCATTCCTCGAAAGAAAACCTAATGGGCGTAGCAGCTTGTCAGTTTTGGAGGACGTCCACATGCAAGCGTGTAGAGAAAACTAGTGGTGTAGTACAAAGATAATGTACCCTTGGGGATGGGTTTGTAATAATATCATCTGCAAATGCACAAGCAAACGATGCACGTGTGCGAGTCCGCTCGTGTCCAAGCCCCATCCACAGCAGCAGTGCCAAACAATTTTTTGTGAATGGCATTTTTTCACGGTTAATAATGACCAGAACCAAGACAACGCAACGTGTAAACGCTTGCCAACAAGGTTCAGAGAGAAGTCTTAAAAGTATCATACACAAACACACGGCCGTCAATATAATCCCCGCCCCCTTCTTTACACGAAGGAAGTGAAGTGTGGTGTGTGTGTGTGTGTGCGTACACAAAATACATTAAGCACAACTGCTTCATTCAGAAGTACTCACTGGGTTATTATTTCGTAGTGGAGAATAAACTTGCCTAATGCGAGTCAGAATGGTCCCGTTTGTTTATTTTCAGTAACTCACCATTTTAAAAGTTGGAATTATTCCTTTTGCATAGGTGGTTGGTTCACTACGATTCATGTAATGTTACAGTATTTTTTTAGTTGCCAAGAAGTATCTTTAATAGGAATGTTGCCACTTGCTTATTATTACGGCTATTAAGGCTTAGTCAGAAGCAACATGGCCACAAATGATAGCTCAATGAAGTGGCTTATCACGTGGACTTGCATCATGGCCAAATACTCTAAATGCATGTTTCTAAAATGTGGAGGGAAAAAACCAGAGGACCTGGAGAAAAATCCACGCGACCACGAGGAGAACAAACTCCACATATACAGCAGGCGTCAGGGTCCGGATCGAACCCACCATCTCCGACAAACCAGGTGAAGTAGTGAACATCTCGCCACCGCGGCACCGAAAGCAATGAATCACAAATTATAAAGGGCTTACACATGTTAATGTTGTTTGAGAGGATGCTATTTTGGAAGGACGTATTTTTTTATCCACGCAATTTTTTACAAGATGTAAATTTGACAGCCAGTTACAAAATCTGTGTACAGAGGTTAATTTATCTGCCAGATGCTTTATTTTTCAGTCACCCAGCCACACATCTCTAACTTGGGCTGCCAATAATCATGAATAAGTACTTCTTCACAACTTAAAATACACAAGTTGAGGTTTCAGGTGATGGCATTGCCTTCAGAGCAGACAAAGACAGGTAAAGAGGATCATGACTTAGAGTTGAACAGAAAATGACAATGTCATGAAATAGAAAAATGTAATCACAATAAAAATATGAAGTTCCCTTTACACATTAACGGAATAATTTACAACAGAATCGAGCGAATAGATTGAAAACATTACATTTAAGTTAACTTAAAAGCATATAGCATATATTACCCTATATTATTATGCAACCTCCCAAGGTAGAAAGTCTTTCTAAAAACGCCAAATGACAGTGAAGCCGAACAAAAGTGCGCAGAGCCATTCAGACAAAAACGACCGCAACGGAGGAAAGCAGCCGATACGCGTACACCGAGCAAGAAGGGGCCAGCGCGGGCACACACTCACCGGCTGCAGCTGATATCTCTGTGGGAAGCCCACCGACGGCTGCTGGTTGTAGTGCCCTGGCGGCTGCTGGCTGTAGGCACCGGGGGCGTTGTAGCCTTGTGGGCCGTACTGCACCGAGCCCTGCTGCCCATACGCCGCCGCCGCCGCCGGATGTTGCGCATTGTAGTGCCCCTGGGGTTGTTGGCCATAGTGTCCTGGCGGCTGCTGCGCGTGCTGGTTGTACGGCGCCGGCGGCTGCTGGTTGTACTGCCCTTGGTGCTGCTGCTGCTGCTGCTGCTGCGTGTTGTAGTGCCCCGTCTGCTGCTGCTGTTGCTGCTGCTGCTGCGTGGCGTACTGCCCAGGAGGCTGCTGACTGTAGTGGGCTGGAGGCATGTGGGGCTGCTGATTGTATTGGGTGGGTGTCTGCTGGCTGTAGTGGCTCTGCGGGTATGGCTGGTGCTGCTGCTGATTGTAGTGGCTTGGTGGCTGGTTGTAGTAGCCCTGCTGCCGATGCTGTGGGTTGCCTCCCATGCCCTGCTGGTTGTACTGGGACACCATCTCCTGCAGGGGAAGACACAAAGGGATGTCCACATGTAATTGACCAGCCACCGTTAGAACAAGCCACACCAACTATAACATCATTGGCATCGTCTCAGTGATATTACGATGCATTGATTCAGACTAAAATAGATTCCTAATCAATCATTCAATTAATATTAATTGAATGTATTTAGTTCATGTCCCCCCCCCCCCCCCCGCCGCTACTGGAATTGCCACAAAAAACAAAATATTTTTTGCTAAAATTCTAAAATTGAATCGCAATTCTAAATCGTGACGATTCAACTAATCGATGGGGATGTGAATGATTATCAACATTTCATCTCTATCGGTGTTCACTGCTTTAACATCATCATTTGTTCATTTATGAACACCGAATAGCCGCTGGAAGCGAGTAGTAGATTAAAGAAGCGGTGACTAAAAAAGACAACGAAGATGACAGTCTACAAAAAACTATTTTGTCATGCGTTCATTAGACTTTAAATAAATAATGATTGCAGCAGCTGTGTTTGAGGTAAAATAACACTCAATGTAAACGAGGACAAGTCAGAATTCTTGTCAAAATCTAGACGCCCCCTCATCCGCAGTGGTGAGCAGCGAATTGCATGCAGCGAATTGCATGGCAAGAGAGGCTCCCCCACCTCAAAATCACCTTTTAAATTTCAACCATTATCTCGTAAAATCGAATTAGCTGTGACATGGCATCATTTCCCAGACGATGGTCAAGGCGGCCCACAAATACGAGCAGGGACGAGATACTCCAGGAAGATAAAACGTAGCGCCACAGCAACAAAGCATGATAAATAAATGCTAATGTGGTCGAGATGTCGGGAATGTGTAAATGAAGCCAGCATTGCTCCGAGGCGAGAGATATCCAATTAGGCACAGGTCAATTGCAAAATAGGCTACTTTTTTCAGGACATTAACAACAATCTTCACATTTTGTCGGAGACACACGGACACAATCATCACCTATTATTATGTAGACTCTGTAGTTAAGCTCTTTCTCCCCCCCCTCATTTTCACGCATTAATAAGATTACACCGGTGACCTGGCATTATATAATACAATGCTCCAAAGCAAAGAGCAATCTGAAAGTTTGCGATGGCGGATACACTGAATGTTTTCAGTGCACGTCTGCCGGATATTGTCTCAAGAGTGGCTTTATTCAGACGACTTGCTTCTGTCTCGGGGAGGAGCCCTTTGGACCTTACAAGTGTTCAGGAAGGAACGATTTTGACAATTTCTCTAATAGTGGGTAATTCTTCACACAATGGTCTACTTGTGTGTCAGGAGGTCATGCAGGTCCGCACAAAATTAGCGGAGGGGTTTATCTCTCTAACAACGGTGCTCCACGAGCAACGGGTTTAGCCAAATGTTCACGATGTACATTAACTGGTGAACCTTGAACCCAAAGGTGAGCGAGCACAAGCCGATCACTTCAAACGCCTTCTTGCCACGAAAAAACGAACACAGTTAATTTAATGGTCCCCCCCCACCTCTCCCCGAAGAATTCTGGTAAAAAAAAAATCTAGACCTTTTTTTATAAAGCAGTACTCCCTAATTGGTCATGCAAAACAGTTAAGCCCGAAATTACGTGCAGCCAATGCACACCAACATACGTGGACAAACATAAATATGCAAGAAACGGATTAAGTATGTAAAAGGATACCACTTAAGAGCCCTGCCATTCCTTTGCGCGTGCCTTTTTTTTGCTTTAAAAAAAATGCGGCACTGCCACTGATAATCGGATGCGATTGGCCGACTATTTTCGCGGAAAAAAAAATTCCGGTGAGCCAGGACTCACGGGAAATACTCGAGCAGCCACACAATCGTTCACAAAAAGGTTACACCGCACGGTGGCCCATTTCAGCGTCTTCCCAAAAAGCATTTGCAAAAAAGAGCCAATTCCACAAAAATGTCAAAACATTTAAAGCCAAGCCACCCACCGAAAAGTACTCGATTTACGTGACCTCAAAGGGCCCCCTGAAATGAAAAAGCCTGCTCATACAAGAGACAAGATGTAAATAAATAAAAAACAAACGTGATACAATGCTTATTTTGACTTTTCCGTATGGAAGCGATCCTCAAGCCTGTGCAAGCAATTTCATCTGAATGCATGGGAGGCAATTGCCCCTCATTTTCCAACCATTTCTTTCATAGCCTTTGCCTGCCCGTGCACCAGGCCTTGCACTCAGAAGTCTACTGGAAATCAGCGGCATTCCGTAACAACACGCTGAGGTATTGGCTAGACCTCCACCAATGTGGCCAAATCACTCTGAATGAGCCCAATATCGTCAAGATCTCGGAAGCTAAAGATGATTGATCCTGGTTAGTATTCGGATGGGAGACCGTCTCTGGAAATACTAAATGTTGCAGTCTTGGACATGTGAGGTGGTTAAGAGATGGCAGGACAGAACTGTACTCAGAAACTGTGGTTTTACTAACATTCATTAAAATAATTATCCAAGCCTCCAAACCAATGCAGGCCACTGCTCAAAAGAAAGCCTCTGCAAGGATTTTCCTGGGTAAGTAAAGAGCATTATTGCATTCAAAACTCTACCATTCCCTACTGCTCCCTTACCTGCTGGTGAGGGTAGCTCATGGGGTTGCCAGGCCCAGGCGGCCGAGATGGCATGCCCTGGGTCGTCGAGCCGTAGCGGTGTGGACCCCCACCCGGAGGCCCGTACTGGCCCTGCCCCGTGTAGCCAGGGCTTGGGCCACCGTACGCCTGACCCTACACACGCGCGCGCGCGCCACACGCAGCTTTACCACCAGCCCCCACTCAATGTCCTGCCAATTTTATCCAACCTCGGGGTGGGCTCTGCAACTCAGGGGGGTTTGGCAAGTGCTTGAAAAATAGGTTTGTTTTTCACAGTTGACGGAGCGAACCCCAAGGCTACCTGGAAAGATAAGAATTTGATACGCAAGAAATGTGTTTGAATTGTCCATGACGTGTAATCAAATCGTCACAAGTCAAAAGTAGTTCTTGCTTTAATCAGCCAGTCAGTTCATTCCAAGGCCCAACAAATGGAAAGTAGTGTGCAACACCTGGTTACAGGCCTGAGCCAATGGTGAAACCACCACATTCCTGCTGTGGTGACAAGTCGAACCATAAAACAACTACTGTGGAATTACCAAAAATAAAAATAAATTTCTATTATCAAGTAGCCACCCATCAAAAAGCGGTGGAGCAGTGGCGCTCAGGTTAGCGCACTGCTCTATGAATTCAGCGAACCAGTTTGATTCCGACTTACACCTTTCGTGACTGCAGGAATTCATATTCTTGGTTCTTTCGGTAAATTCACGTAGATAGAAAATAAAAATAAAATTTAATTAAAAATAAGAGCAAAAAACCACGACGTTTCAATCGCAACAAAAGCGGTCTTCATCAGGCGGAGAGATGACCGCTTGTGTTGCGATCGAAACGTCGTAGTTTTTGCTTTAATTTCAAATAAAATTTAGTTTTTATTTTCTATCTACGTGACTTTACCGAAAGAACCAAGAATACAGTTTGATTCCTTTGCCACGGCTAACCTTGGTAGCGAGTAATATCTGAAGCGCTCCTGGGCACCACCCCCCCTTCTTCAATCTACATTGACCAGCATGGTGAAGTATGGTCAAATTCCGATGACCACAAGGCATGGGGAGACCTTCATCCAGCAGTGGACCGATAAAAGGCTGTACACATTGTGGTGTGAAAGTGTGAGTCAACACCAACCAGAATTTTATCTTCCTCTTTAACCACTGCACTACCCAAATTAATAAATGTACTTGTAATAATGCTGCAAGCTAAATCCAGCACCTACTGAAGTCCACATACGATCTCAGTCAAAATATAAATCTCATGAGAGCAACTTCCCTCTATCCAAAATCAAGCAGCGTTCCCAACACGCCATGATCATTATCAATATGAACACTGCATTCATGTGAATAAACCTGTGTGCGTTAAGCAATTCCGGCGTACCTGAGCGTGGTCAGGGAAGGTGCCGGGCGGCTGCTGCCCATTTCCACCTGGGTATGGAGGAGCTCTCTTGGCAACCATGGAGTCCATCACTCCCATCTGCGCACACACATGGAGACAACACAGAAAACACACGCTGTAACAATGGCCACGTCCTGCCAGCTTGGGACGACATCTTCACATGTGCAGCCAACAGAACCTGCAACAGAGAAGCGTCATACAAAAAATATTCAACTTGCGCGTGATTATTAAAGCGCACGATATCGGTACACCTGTGGTGAGATGTTTGTTGAACAGCCTTACAGGGGAAAACTGGGATGCATCTTATTTATGTTTACGTTTCTGCATGCGTGCACACATTCTTTTTTGTCTCCCCAGCAGGGTCCAAAACGGTCTTGCGGAAGCACGAATGCTTACAACGTGAAATCACAATTTTAACCGTAGTGATGCGATGGGCTTCATTAAACAGCGCCTGACAGCACCACTATCCTGCAATGAGGCTGACATCTCTGGCAGCACTACTGGGGTGGGCAAAGTGAGGCGCGTTTAACAAGCACTTGCAGACTACCCCTTTGTGCGGATGAGAAGATGCTGTGCCAAGCGCCCAACAACATCACTCCACAATAAGCCACCCAAGATTAATTAATGAGAATTTACTTAAAATCTTCTAGAAGGCACTCATCTTAAACAGTAACATGGTGTGGTGTTTATGTTCAGAGCCTCAAGGGGCATCTTGCCTGGGTCAACGGTGTTGAAGGCCAGTGGTTTGCACGACTGTCACTTAACATTCACGTTTAATAAAAACACATCATGGTCGGGGCGCAGAGAGACCGTTGCACACACAAGTACTTTACATGACCACCTATTACGAGGACAGCAAAGATGAAGTGCTAACATCTTGCCTTCGTCTCCCCAAGCACTAAGGTTGACATACACCCATTCTAGTTTGAGGTGACCTACAATAGGACCATCATTTCTGCTCTACAGATTTAAAATGTTGTTTAGCCTCTTGTGCGACGTAGGGGCTCTGCAGATCAACATCGGTCAGCAGAATTGTTCAAAACAAACCAACTGTCGACCAGTTTCAACTTTGTGGTCCCATCCGAGGTCTGGCTGTGTAAATATTGCCGGGTTAGGCAGATGATGCCATCAAGAGTAGTAACATTGTAAAAATGTATTATTTCGTTGTTGCACATTCTGGGTATAAACCTGCATTGTTTTCCAATTAAAAAAAATAATCTTCGTCTGTCGGCATACTGGCCTTCAAGAAATGCTAACCAGCAGCTTTTATTTAGACAGGAAAACTATCAATCGGTTTCAATCCTTTGGGTTTCATCAGCAGTGAGCTTTGTTAAATATTGCTGGTTTGTAATGTCATTGTACGAGGCTCAGATCAAATTCAGATATTAATTGCTGATGGTTTTCTGCATCACCATTATGAACCAAACCCTAAGTAACAGGATAAGCAGTGCAGTAACTTCAAATACTGCTCCCAACCACTCACATTCCATGGTCAATCGACTGCTGGGTGAAGGCCTCACAACTTTAGTCAGCACACGGTTCCTCAATAACCAAAAGCCATCTCACTCCTGAGGCAGAGTTGATCTCATCACTGCATTTCCAAATGGTCATCTGCTCCTTTGGCAACCATTCCATATTCTCCTTCGACCGTCTCTTTCAACGGCAATCATCTCTTGATGGCCGATGGAAGAGACGTCTTGCCTAAGCCCTGTTACTTTTATATAGCACCAATTATGTCTAATTTTCATTTGGTCAATGTGTCCCTCTGTATTTATCTCAATGTCATTTGCAAGCATGCTTTTCTCCATGTTTCTGTGCACTATTCAGATTTCCTTCCGTTTTCTTTTGCAGTAGAATTGCAAACTATTAAAGAAATTTAACGTTCAAAAATGATTCCAGGCACAATGGGCATCACAACAAATGTAGCATACAGTGTGTTGCCACTTGTGTTCAATAAGCAACAATCATTGCAAAAACACAACCACACATTAACCGGGCTCCAGAATCATCCCTTCACTCACACCAAAAGTATCAACTTCAAATTATGCACATTTTCCCCACACAATATTGGTCAATAGGTGGAGCAACTTTCTGTTTGCATCAGCGTCTTGTTATGCCCTTCTCTCGTGTAGCTCTCCCTTTCTGTTTGTCCACCTCTGTGTGGCCATTACTCTATATCTCCCAAGTCTCTAGACGCTTCTCTCCCCATCTCAGGTGGGCCCCAAAGCAACTCCCCCGCCTGGGTCATTGTGCATCCACATGTGTCCATCACCCAACATTTGCACACTAATGCATTTGTCCGCATCTCGTGGTTCCTTTTCACGTCTCTTGCTCAATGGTCAATGCATGTGCGTCAAAAAATCTTAGGCCAGCGAAGCCAGAGTCGAGTGGAATCGCGTGATCAACAACAAAATTAACCCCCCCCCCCCCCCCGAATGCTCGATTAAGGAACCACACAATAAAAACGGCCGCGCGAGTTTGAGCGGTAGTTTTGCCGAGAATTTACGAGTGCCTCAATGTGTATAGTAACCACGGCAATGGATATTGGATTTCAAAATGCTTGTCTGTAATTCATCTGACTTGCCCTCCCCTCCTTCCCGCTTGTGCTCACTCTCCCCCCTCCTTCCTGCTCGATCACCATCTCTCAGAGGCCGATTGCTCCAGCCTCTCTCTCCCTCCTTCCCCCCTTTGGCTCCCCTCCCACCTCTCCATCCGTCTAACCCCGTGCCAAGAATGCAGCACCTCTGGAGCCATCCACTACTCCAGCAAAATAATAAGCCGGCGGCCGCCGCGTGGCTAATCTGCATAACTCCAAGGTCGAGTGTTCTGCCGCCCTTCCCCCAACCCCACTGCCTGAAACTTGACAGCCCCGGGGACTCTCAGACACCGCTGGACATTGCACCGAGCTTGAAACACAATAGCCCATCGGCGTGGCGGCTTAACCCTTTCATTTTCATTGTTCTGCCGCGTGCGCTTGAAAAGACTGTTTGGACACGGATGAGAAATTCCTCAAGTCTGGCCAATGAGGGGGTTGGGGTGGGGGAGGTAAGGATGCTTCGAGTATGGTGAAGGGGGGGCAGTGATTTGGTAGAAGGAAGAAGACAGAAAACAAGTTTGGCTGCATATTTACGAAGGGTGAACGTCTGTGCAAAAAAAAAAAACGGGCGCTCAATTAAACAAGGCATGTCACAAGCCACTCGCGACACGCACCAACGCACACCAGCAACACTACCCAACATTTCAAACCTATACACGCGCGCACACACACTGCTTCCGACAAGACGTACAGCGCCGTGATTATCTCAATTACTACAGTCTAATTCCTGAATATAAATGAAATAATATTTCAAATATTGACCCACACGGAGGTCTGGCTCTAAGATGTTCAACCCCAATAGCCAAGCTTTGACGATATCAACAACCAGCAAGCAAAAACCCTTTGTATTTTTTCGACAATTAAATCACCTACAGTAATATCAATACAACCAATGTCGATGTTGTGACATTACCGAGCTGGACAACAAAAATAATTGACGGTAATTGTTAAGTCCTTTAGAACAGCCAGCCGTAGGGGGGTGGGGGGAGAACAAGTTCAGAGCTCGCGGTTGTGTGACGACGCTTGCCCCCCCCCCCCCCCCTGGCTGGAACACAGAGCAAAGAATGTGAAAATGGCAGCGTGTGTGGTGTGTCAGCAGTCACACAAGCGCGCACACCACAAAACGAAGACAAAGATCCCCCGTATAACCTTAACAGATTGTTGGGGCAAGTGCTATTAGCGAGTAGCACCGATGAATGCCGGCACGGCACACGAGTGGGGTGGGTGGCCAGCACCACGCCCGTCCGCCTTTGTCTCCCCAGTGGCGATGTTTACAGCACCGCACTCGGCACCAGGACCGGCTCGGATAATCACCACCGGTGTTGGCCGTGAGCGGGAATCAAACTCGCGTCGCCCAGGGTTCGTAGCGCAGCGCAGCGCGCTAACCGCCACACCACCGCTCCCCACAAATGCGCACAACAAACACAGCAGCCAAGCCCAGCATCACCAGTCCTTAAAACCCCGACCGCTCCAGTACCCCCCACCCCCCCCCCCCCCCTGATGGCCGGGTGCTCTCGGCGTTTTAACGGGAGGCACACCCACTGCCCCCCCCCCCCCCGCCTGTCTCACTCATTCATAGGGGGCAGCCCCATAGCCGGCTCTTCCCACCCAGCGTCAGCAGCAGCAAGTCACACCGTGAACACAACCGCCATTTTAGGAGCTCCCAGGCACCCGATTCAGAGCAACACACGGGGTGTGTGGAAGGGAAGGAGCGAGCCGAGCCCGTAGATGGGAGCGGCGACATTGTGGCGACCGTACGAGGGATGGCATGCCTCCTCCACGCACGAACAACCGCATCAGCATTGCAAATCCTATTCATCTAGCAGTATGTGATCATGGCTACCCCCCCCCCCCTGCAACCCCCCCCTCAACCCCTTCCACCAACACTACCCGACTGACAACCAACGATGGTTGAGATTCTAGCAACGAAAACGCATCTTGTGGAAAAGCCAGCCTGCCGTGCTCAGAATCGAGGTTGTGGGATTATAACCGGAGGGGAAGTGGGGGGGGGGGTCAAGAAAGGCCCCCCCCCCCCTATTGTATTTCTATCATTTATTTTCTATAACCAAAAAAACCCCTGTGTTCATTCATTTTTTTGTGTAAACATTAATGTTCACGCCGTTGTCTGTCAAGTCTGCTCCCCTTGGCTAGAGCAAGGTGACACAGACGGCGAAACCAACAAAAACAGAGAAACCACGCACGCTCATCTCTCTCTCGCCGCCTTCACCGACAAAATGATCACCAACCCCTCCCACCTCCGACAAAAGTTTATGTTTCCAAATGCACAGTAGGGTTGTTTACGCTGTCAAGATGCGTGTCAACATCAGCCGCCACGTGCGGACGGAGCCCACTTAAAAGTCAATAGCCCATATGCGGAGCAGCTGATACTAATTTTACACAGCTAACATCTACCGGAATTAAACACGCAGGGATTTTTCGCGACCAATATTATTCATGGGTTACATCGCATGAATATACAATG